AAGAGACTATGGACTTTTAAGTATTGGATTTTTTTTTAAGGACTGTGGGGTTTTTAAGGTTGTACTGTCTTATGTTGTGATATTAATGTTAACATCATAGCTTGGGGACAAGAATTGGAAAGCTTATGGTTTAATAGTGATGTGTTTGTGTGTCAAATTGACAAGGGGTCAATTGTGCTGGATAGCTTTAGTGTCAACTTGACACACCTGGGTTGAGGGAGCCTCAATCGGGGAATTGCCTCTATTGGACTGGCCTGTGGCCATGTCTGAGGGGCATCTTCTTGATGAGTGGTGTGGGAGGGCCCAGCCCACTGTGGGTGGTGCCACCCCTGGGCAGGTGGGCCTGTGTTGCATAAGAAAGCAGGCTGAGCAGGAGCCAAGGGAGCAAGCCTGTAAGCAGTGTTCCTCCATGGCCCGTGCTCCAGCTCCTGCCTCCAAGTTCCTGCCCTGAGTTCCTACCTTGGGCTCCCTGATGAACTGCGTGCGACCTGGGAGATGTAAGACAAATAAACCCTTTCCTCCCCAAGTTGGTACTGGTCAGAGTGTTTTGTCACAGCAGTGAAGAAACAAACTAAGACACCCTCAAAACTTTCCCGCTTTTGAAGTTTTCATTTTATATCTGGAGGTGCCTGATTCACAAAAGCCATATTGATGGCCATCTGATTCTCTGGGGCCTCTGGATTAATGGGAGTATAAGTTCTGAAAGCCTCTAGGAGGCACTCCAGGTACACTCCAGGAGACTCACCCCTTCCCTGCATCACCTGACTAACCTTAGACGAATTGGTGAGGCGCTTAGCAGCTGTCCGGAGATCCCCCATAAGAATCTGGCGATAGACGTTTAGGTGTTCCCTAACTTCATGAGTGCTATAGTCCCACCCCTCCATTGGGTGCATGAGAGGAAAAGCAGCCATAATCAAGTCCTCATTCTCTGTTGGTCACCCATCATTTCCAGGGACTGCATGTCTGCATTCCTGAAGAATGTGGTTCCATTCCTTGGTGGTGAACAGGGTATTCAATAACTGTTGGCAATCATCCCAAGTAGGTTGGTGGGTAAAAAGAATGGTATCCAGGAGGGAAACTAGGGCCTGAGGCTTCTCTGTGAAGGAGGGAGTCTGTAACTTCCAATTACACAGGTCACTAGTAGAAAAGGGGAAGTATATTACGGGTGCAATTCTGTCCTCCCTTGGGGGCCCAATCTCCCACAGGGGAAGAGCTTGTACAGTTCTCCCCTCCCCCTGCAAGCAGGTGTGTAATGGGCTGGGTTAGGCTATGGGAGGTGCCGTCTCAGCCATGGGAGCTAGGGACAGAGATTGGGAAGAACTGGAAGAAGAGGAAGAGGCTCAGTACTTGCGCTCTCTAGGTCTATCCTGAGCACTCGATGGGGCCCCATAAGGGTTCGGGAGTAAATCCTCCTCTGGTGCCAAAGAGAGGAATTCGGGACCCGATGGGTTTTGGTCTGGACTTTCTTCAGAGGAAGCTAAGTGGCTGACCCCTTAGGCCCCAATGGTGGGTGCAGCAATAAGGGACACAGCCAGTCGGGGGGGCCAACGACCAGATATCGCCAACCTAGGATGTAGGGGATCTGGTCAGGGTGCCCGGTTCCCTGAAGATAACTCCTTGAACCTTCTAGATGAGAGACAGTTTAAAGGACCCTTCAGGCGGCCATTCAACTTCAAAGGAGGGCCATTCGATGGTGCAGAGGGTCTGGAGGCTGGTCGGCCTGACAAGGAGTCCAGACATGTTTGAGGCTGCTCATTTGTAGTCCTGAAAATGACTAAGAACTAGATTAAGGGGGGCTGAAGATGATGAGACTTTCTGGTCCATCATGAGATAAGCTTCAAGAAAAAAGAATGTAAGGAGAGGGATGAGAATGAGAAGAAGTAGGATGGAAAGTCGATAGACAAGGTGGAGCCCCGAGCAGAGGGTGAGGACAGTATGAGATGGCAGCTCCCTAGAGGGAGAAATGAAAATCTCACAACATGCAGAGTGAGCTGAGGAGGCTGCCCCTGTCCCTTTCCCAAAAAGATTTGGCCAGCCTGGATTCCATGTCAGACTCGACAAGAATCTTGAGTCTGGCCCGCCCGGATTCCACATCAGGCTGGGCCGAGACTCTGAGCCAGTCCTGCCTGGATTCCATGTCAGGCTGGAACACAACCCCCTATCAGAGGAGGAGTTGGGGTGTCCCCATTCTCCTCCAGCTCTGGGATCAATAGTGCGTCCACCTGATCTCCATTGAGCCCCAGGATGTCTAGACTACTGAAAAGCAAGAGAGAGACAGAGACAGAGACAAAAGCAGGCACAATTTACCAAGGCCAGCTCTGGTGGAGCGCTTCCGTGGGTCTGGGATCGCTAGTCTCAAATCCCTGATGAGCCCCCAAATGTGAGAGTTCGAGAATCAAGAATAATTCCCACAGATACCAAAAAGATTATACAAAAAGTTTATTCAGGAATTTAAAGTAAAAACAATCAAATGGCGGCTAGCTGGGCACAGACTACACAAGCCAAAGATGGAGTCTGGCCCCAAACAATAGCAGGCAGGGGCTTTTATTGGGGAACTCCACCGAAACCCGCATGCGCTAAGCTTCTTTTAAAATAATTGGATGTCCCCATATCCTGAGTACGGGAGAAGTCTTGATTGGTAGGGGCTGTCTTCAGGGCATTGGAATGTGCTGACTGAAATCTTTTAGAGCCAGAAGTTTTTGTCCATACCTTATAAGGCTTTTACATGTCCAGGGCTTGCTTAATTTATAACTTCCTGGGGTGAGGGGGGGTAGCAACTGGGAAGATTTACAATATGCCTGAGCTTGTCCAGGCTTGTCTGAAGAAGCTAGCCAAAATGGAGTCAGCATTCTGGCCCTTCAGGGGCAGATAAAATTATATAATTTACAACAAAGCTAGAGTAGATGTTCTATTTTTTTTTTTTTTTTTTAGTTTTAAGATAAGGCCAGGCCTGGTGGCCCACACCTTTAATCCCAGCACTCAGGAGGCAGAGGCAGGCAGATCTCTGTGAGTTCAAGGCCAGCCTGGTCTACATAGTGAGTTCCAGGCCAGTTGGGGCCACAGGGAGACCTTGTCTCAAAAAGACCAAAAAAAATTACATGTATCATATATATATATATATGTATATCACCAGAACACTGACTCACCCTCCCACCCTGCTAATCAGTCTGTGGTCTGACGTTCTCTCCAGCAGCATGCTGATGCCAATTCTCATTGATAAGAATTGTCCTTGGTCCTTCCCCAGCTGGCTGTCTAGGAGCTCCCCTCTGTAAACATGGCTAGACAGTAGACCTGCCAATAGTGAAGGGAGCTGAGTGAAGTGTTCATCTTTTTGTATTTTTTACATTTTTATAATTTTATTGAATTTTTGCAAATTTCATACAATAAACTGATCATATTTAGATCTCTTCCTGTCTGCAGCCCCTTACCTCTCCCCACCCAATTTCATGTACTCCAGTGTATATTATATAATCTATACTGTACTAATCGTTTACATTTTATACCACAGTGAAAAAGTGAAATTCCAAGACAGAACAGAAAATTCAACAACCAAGCCAAGTTCATAAAATAATCAAGCTGAGCTTTCTGAGGTTGAAGCCCCTCCTTCCCCCTCTCCCAACTGGGTAACTAAAAGGCTAACAGGTCCCAGGGCACCCCTGAATTTTCCTCCCTCTTATCATTGATCATTCTTAAGTTCCTCCATAGATATACATTATGTTTTACCCTGAAAATCCCATTTTCCGGGGCTGGAGAGATGACTCTGCATTACCTTTGCAGAGTGTTGAGTTCAGCTCGCAGCACCCGCCTCAGGTGGCTCATAACTGCCTGTAACTCCAGCTCCAGGGGATCTCATGCCTCAACACTGATATGCACATACCCCCACATAGACACCTAGGCATACACATAATAAATATTTCTTAAATTCCATTTTGCCTGGTGTGGTGGCACATGCCTGTAGTCCCAGCACTTGGGAGGCAAAGGCAGGTGGATCTCTGCGAGTTTAAGGCCAGCCTGGTGTACATAGTTCCAGGACAGCTGGGCCTACAGGAAGACCCTGTCTCAAAAAGACCAAAAAAAAAAAATTCCATTTTGCACGCATTCTCCTTTAATTAGTGCAATGAGTCATAATGTGTTTGTCTTTTACCCCTATGATTTTTTATGCCACTCTTGACACCTTTCACTTACTTGGTTTGCATAAACATATGATGCCTTATCTCACCAGATGGCCAAGGCCTCCAGCCCCCGGCTGTGTCCTACAGAGCACCCTCAGTGCTCCCCTGTACTCACAGGCTCGGGGGTGAGAGTCCTAGACTGGATGAAATGTGGGTGCTAGGTCTCGGTCTACTGCAAAGTCACTAAACTTAAGTCAGTCAATACTAAACCATCCACTTATGTCTACCAAAGCCTTTGGTAGTAATTAAAATGCCACCGGGGAAAAATCAAATCATAGCCAGAGACACTTTTAGTCAGTGATTAAATATTATAACTTCTATTTAAAGTTTCTGGCATGCAATGTTTTTTTTGGGTTTTTTTTTTTTTTTTTTTGGTCTTTTTGAGACAGGGTCTACCTGTAGCCCCAGCTGGCCTGGAACTTACTATGTAGACAAGGCTGGCCTTGAACTTGCAGAGATCTGCCTGCCTCTTTGTCCAGAGAGCTGGGATTAAAGGCATGCGTCACCATGCCTGGCACAACATAATATTTTTAAATGGAAGAACATTTTTAGTATTCAGGCTTTATTAGAAAAAGTGTTTTTGTTGGGCATGGTGGCGCATGCCTTTAATCCCAGGACTTGGGAGACAGAGGCAGGTGGATCTCTGTGAATTTGAAGTCAGCTTGGTCTACATAGTGGTTCCAGACAAGCTGGGGCTACAGGGAGACCCTGTCTGGAAAAGACCAAAAAGAAAAGAAAAAGTGTTTTCTGAACTGTCCTGCATTCACGTGGTGCATTACTAATTAGCTCCTGCTTCTCTCGATGTCCTCTCCGTGCTCACTCCTCTAGGTCAGTCCTCAGTGCTTCCCAAGATGGAAAGTTGATTATCTGGGACAGTTACACGACCAATAAGGTAGGGTTCCTTGTAAAAGATATTTTTTATGTTATGTGTGTGAGTGTTTTGCCTGAATACACCCCTGCCATACAATGCCCTCAGAGGTCAGAAGGGGACATTAGAAACCCTGGCACTGGATTTACAAACAGTTGTTAGCCACCGTGTGGGCGCTGGGAATCAAACTCAAGTCCTCTGCAAGAGCAGCCAGTGCTCTTAACTGTTGAGCCATCTCTCCAAGGTAGGATTTCTTTTTATTTGTTTTTGTTGTTGTTGTTTTGAGACAGGGTCTCCCTGTAGCCCCAGTTCCCTCCCACCTACAGTTCAGTGTTAGGATGTGGGAAATTCTTATTTTAAGCACTAATAAAAATTTTACCAAAATCTGGTCACACACATAGAATAAGTGCCTGTGAGATACCCAACCCTAAGTGACACATCTACAATGGAACCTCTACACTTAAGGCTCATGCAACATAGTGGAACAGCGGGTAGAGAAAACACTAATCCATCTCTCATCTCTCATCAATGAAACTCCCTCATGCAACAGATGACCATGAACACAAAGGGACACAAATGGCCAAAGTGTAGAGAATAAGAGTCTGCAGAGTGTGGGCCCTTGGACAGGACTCCCATTTTAAACTTCACCTATCCAGGGCTCAGGGACCATTGTGGAAGAGGGGGCAGAAAGATTGTAAGAGCCAGGGAGGAGGTGCATGACCACATGGATACAGAGTCTTACAGGCTCTGGGGCCTTCCTCATACAAACCTACAGCCATGGTGTCAGCATGCACAAGACCCACGCAAACTCAAGCAGACAAAAACCCAGCCCAGAACCGGGGAAATGGGCAGCAGACCTCAATCTTAGCCAAAGAACTGTGGACAGCCGATCGCTGCTGGGTGAGGAAGAGCTGATCTTCGTTAAGGGAGGGACTCTAGATAGGGTGACTAGACTCCAGTGCATGAACTTGTACTGAAGGGCATCTGGGGACACTAATTTGACTCAGTAGGCCTTCACATAAATGACAGAATGCATGAAATCCAGTTGGGGCTCCTGGAAGGTACCGACAGGAAAAGAGGTGTAAAGATGATTAAGATTTTGTGTATTAAATACACAAAAATTCAGTAAGAAATATACAAGAAAAAAAGAATTTCACCAAAATCTTTACTCACATTTTTCACATAATTTTCCCAGTGTCTACATTAGCATCAAACCATCTTTGTAGCCTCACTTCGATTGGTAGAATTGTTTCTAAAAAGAACACCTCAAGTCCAGATGATTTGATGATACAGAAAGTACATGGAGTCCGTGGCCTGTCTCACTCACATTCTGCTATTCTCAAGCCACAACTTTTATTGGCTTGTTTTTCTTAGAAATGCCTAGTTTCCAGCCGGGCATGGTGGTGGTGCACGCCTGTAGTCCCAGCACTCGGGCGGCAGAGGCAGGCGGATCTCTGTGAGTTCCAGGCCAGCCTGGTCTACACAGTGAGTTCCAGGCCAGCTGGGGCTACAGGGAGACCCTGTCTCAAAAAGACAAAAAAAAAAAAAAGCCTCGTTTCCTTGCTTCACTATTAACAGGTTTGGGAACTCCCTGTTTAGGGACTCACTGACCATCCTCTTGGTCTTTCCCATAATGCTTTCCTGCTGCTGGTGTGGCAGATGCATGCCATTCCACTGCGGTCCTCCTGGGTGATGACCTGCGCATATGCCCCGTCCGGGAACTATGTGGCCTGTGGAGGCTTGGACAACATCTGCTCCATCTACAACCTGAAGACCCGAGAGGGAAATGTGCGGGTGAGCCGCGAGCTGCCAGGGCACACGGGTGAGCCGCACTCAACGATGCTTTGTCCTCCCCAGCCGTCCCTCCTGAGAGTTGACCAAGGACCCAGGGCAGGCTGCTCAGCTGGCCAAAGAGAGAGGGAGGCAGAAATTGCCATGGTCTAGAAAGCAGTAACTCAGTCTCACAGGTGATGACCTCAGACCTTGTGCCCTCAGACCTTGCTGAACATGGATTCTGCCTCTGGCTGTACCCCAACCCCCATCGTTTAATTTTCTTTTCAAAACTAGCTGCATCATTTTTGTAAAAGTAATAAGCTTGCTACCAAACAATCCACAGTTAATCATGAAAACTGTAAAAAAGGAAGTAAATACAGTCTTCTGCATTTTCTACTAACACATAGCAGATTACAGGATTGCCCACTGTGCCTGGTCGAATCATTAAAGGCATTTCTCAAGGAGCATGGAGGTGCTGTCACTCTGGTGTGATGCTTTGCTGGCTGCTGTGCCCGCCATCAGCCACGGAGTGGAGTTTGGTCTGTGATGTGAATTCAGTTTCTGTCTCTCATATTTCCGCCCATCTATATTTTTGAATCTACTTGACCACATTTCTAGAGCCTTCACGATGGTATTTCCCTGCCATTTCTGGGTTCAGCTACATTGGTGGATGCTAAGCCCCCCAAAGCCACATCCCACAAAGCCTTCAGTGACGAGGTTCTGACTTCTCACAGTATTCTGGGCCCTGCCTTGCCACCTTGGGTTCCAGGTACTGTTATAAAGGCACTCCTCTCTGGCACGTCCAGCCCGCAGCCTGCAGACCACATGCAGCCCAGGTCAGTTAGGTATGTGACCAACACAAGATCAGAAACATACTGAAAACAGTGTGAGAGTTTGGAGTGGTTTGTTGACTGACTTACTGTAATTCAGTTGCATAGTTCTAAATAGATGATGACGTGTCACACCACCAAAGGTTGACACCCCTGGAAGGTGAGGGTGACCAGGGCTGGCATGCTCAACGTGGTCACTGTGAGCGGCCAGCATGTAATGAAGTCGTTAGAGCAGGTCTGCACATCTGCTGATAAAGACTTGCTACCCAGGTGTATATTTGTTTTTTGTTTTTGTTTTTTGTCTTTTTGAGACAGGGTCTCCCTGTAGCCCCAGCTGTCCTGGAACTCAGTATGTAGACCAGGCTAGCCTTGAACTCACAGAGATCCGCCTGCCTCTGCCTCCCCAGTGCTGGGACTAAAGGCGTGGGCCACCATGCCCGGCCCCAGCTGTATATTCATAAATCCTCTGTGTCAGTGGATCAATGAGGTCCTGACGTTTGCTCCTCTCTCTGCAGGATACTTGTCCTGCTGCCGATTTTTAGATGATGGACAGATCATTACAAGCTCAGGAGACACGACTTGGTAAGTTTATTCCGGAAGATCCCTGACCTAGGAGGAGCGGACACCAGAGAGTTACGCAGGAAGCGGTGTGGTCACCTCCGGTCTCCGTTCACTTATTTCAGTGCTTTGTGGGACATTGAAACTGCACAGCAGACCACCACCTTCACCGGGCACTCCGGAGACGTGATGAGTCTCTCTCTGAGTCCCGATGCCCGGACTTTCGTTTCCGGTGCTTGCGATGCATCCTCGAAGCTCTGGGATGTCCGAGATGGAATGTGCAGACAGTCTTTCACTGGACACGTCTCAGACATTAACGCCGTCAGTGTAAGTGAAGAGCACTTCCTTTCTTTGACTGTTTTTCTGCTTTCTTTGGTGGGGAGGGAGGCAGAGTCTCATGAAGCCCAGGCTAGCCTCAAACTTGCTATGTAGCTGAGGATGACCTTGATCCTCTGATCTTCCTGCCTCCACCAACCAAAAATTTACCATGCAGCTAAAAGTGCTGGACATGACACAATTCTAACAAATGGCTTTGACAGATTCTTATAATTAATAAGCCCTTAGGTCAAATCCTCAAATAATAGGTTTGATTTTTTTTAATTTAATCCATCCATCTAAGTCTTTATTTTTGGAAGAAATACTAGCTTATTCCCAAAAGGAATGGACAGATGTTGTCTTGAGTGAGATGTCAGAGAACGCAGATGCTTAGCCCCCAGGTCAGCCTGCCAAGGGTGACAGCATGTATTCAGCTCTCTGTCTGTCATCATCACCATTTGTAATTACTAAGGTTTTTAAAGTAGATTTTTTTAAGTGTGTGTGTGTGTGTGTGCATGTGTGTTGCTGAGAATTGAATCAAGGACCTCATGCATGCTGGGCAGGTGCTCATGGCTTTTAATTTTGCTTTGTTTTTCCTTTTTAGTTTGCCAAAATAGTGGATTTATTTTTATTATTGTTACTATTATTTTAAATTGTGTGTGTGTGTGTGTGTGTGTGTGTGTGTGCGTGTGATGGGCTGAAGTATTACTGAGCCATCAATACAATTACCTGAACAAATAAAAGCCTAACTTTTTAATATTTTATTTTTATTTTATGTGTAAGAGTGTATTGCCTGTATGTATGTGAGTGCACCTGTGTTATGCCCTTATGTCAAATTGTCTGACCCTTGGAGGTCTGAAGAAGGCATTGGATCCCCTGGAACTGGAGTTACAGAGGGTTGTCAGCAACTATGTGGGTGCTGGATTGAACCTGGCTCCTCTGCAAAAGCAGTGATTGCTCTTAACAGCTGAGCCATCTCTCCAGTTCCCAGCACCTAACTCTTAAATTTTGTTTTTAAGAGTGGGCCCAACCACAGAGGACACTCGTTCCCTAGATACCCCTGGGAACCGTCTGTGTCCTAGAACTATGCTGGTGGAACTGTCTTGCTGGAACTACATCCCCAGTACTGTGTCCTGAGTCTGGACACCCATAATTTTATTCAAAATGGTTTCTCCAGCTTCAAGTGGGGGAGTACATCTTAACAGAGAGTCCTGTCTTTTCATCCCTAGTTCTAGAATATCTCATTCACCCAAGATCACGCATCCTTCCCAGTCTCCTCTGTGACCAGTGGAGATAGTCTGCTGTCTTTCAGCACTTTGACATGTTAATTCTCAAGCACACCCACATTCATTCATTATTTCTGGGTGGAGTAGCAAACTGAGGTTGTCCTAGACAGGAGAGCAGTGGTTTTGCTGGAGTTAATTACAAGTCATTAGTCCAGATTATGCCCATTTATAAAAGTCATTCCCACAACGGGTGATTGCATGTGTGTGGCACATGCACGTGAGTATGGGGGTGTACACAGCTTATGTGCACACAAGCAGAGGCCAGAGCAGGCCATTGGGTGCCTTCCTCTACTTCTCTCTACCTTACTGTCTTGAGGCAGGGTCTCTCACTGAACTGGAAGCTTGCCTCTTTAGCTCGGCTACGGGTCCAGCAAGTTCTCAGGCTCAGCTTGTTTCTGCCCCCAGTGTAGGGGTTACAGACTCACTCAACCATCCTGGCTTTTTACATGGGTACTGGGGATTCAAACTCGGGTCCTCAGATCCTTGTGCTTACAGAACAAGTATTCTTACCCACTGAGCCATCTCCCAAGCCCCTAAAATAGTCAATCTATAGTGATTGATATTTTTTCCTCTTTAGTTTTCTGTTTGTTGGGGTGGGGGTGGGGGGATTAAGTACCATCCTTATTAAGATATCACTACTATGTAGTAAGACTTGCTGTTTTGTTTTGTTGTGTTTGTTTTGTTCAGACAGGGTCTAAATGTATAGCCCTAGGTGGCCTGGGCTGGCTTTGAACTCACAGCGATCCACCTGCCTTTGCTTTCCAAGTGCTGGGATTAAAGCTGTGTGCTACCACACTCACTCGGCTGCAAGACTTGCATTTGAAATGAAATGTCCCAAGGAAGATGCTGTATAAGGGTGTGATCATGCTGCATGCCTTAGTCCCAGCACTCAGGAGGCAGAGGCAGGAGAATCTCTGGAAACTCAAAGCCAGTCTGGGCTACAGAGTGAAACCTTTTCTTTTAAAAAAAGAAAAAAAAAAACAATTATATCAGTTTGTTTTCTTAGGTGGAATCATGACCAACTTTTACATTTGCCGTTTTTAGTTATGTTTAGTAGTGATAAAATTTCTCATCTGTGGCTGGGCGTGGTGGCGCATGCCTTTGGTCCCAGCACTTGGGAGGCAGAGGCAGGCAGATCTCTGTGAGTTCAAGGCCAGTCTGGTCTACAATAGTAAGTTCAGGTCAGCTGGGACTACAGGCAGACCCTGTCTCAAAAAGACAAAAAAAAATTTTTTTTTCTCATCCTATTTAGAACGTTAAGTTCAGAAGCCAAACCATAATAGTTTCCTGCTTAGTTGAACATTGGAGTGCAGTTGGATGTGAGGGGTCCCTTGAGCAGGTACTGTGTGCCCCACACATTCTCTAGACCACAGCAAGGTAGTCGGTTCACACTGGCTGACAAAATGGCTGCAGATGGCAGGGCAATGCCCGAGGAGGTCAGAAGAGGGCGTCGAATCTCCTGGACTGCAGTTACAGACAGTTGTTAGCCACCGTGCGGGTGCTGGGAATCAAACCTGGGTCCTCTGCAAGAGCAGCCAGTGCTCTTAACCACTGAGCATCCCTCCAGCTCCAAACTTAATTTTCCTAATAGTTAAGGAGCTGCCCCAGTTGATTGATTTTTCTGTTAATTCCCCGCTATGCCGTTCACTGAATCCTTGTCGCCAGGCTGTGCTCTCTTCCTATGGGGTTAGCCCTGGTCCCGGAGCATGCTTGATAAGTCCTGCCACAGGAACTCTGCCCTGGACCCTAGGGTCTTAAAGTAAGTTGTTTGAGTATATGTGCCTGGTTCAGTGAAATATATTTCTAGTTAACTAAATGCAAATAAATAATAGTGATGTTTTTCCCACTTCTCCAAACACCTCTTATTGAAATTTAGATCTAACTATGTGGGTAGGTTTGGGAGGGTTTACCTGGGGTAGTGGGCTGTCTGGCCAATTTGTGAGTGTGAGAATGGCACCTTTGCGTCTCAGTGAAGCCCATCGTGCAGCACAGCCTGCTGCTGAGTGACCAGGTTCTTGGAGATGGCCCAAGCTGCTCTCCAAATAGGAAGTGCTTTTCTTTATAAATTCCCCGAAGGTTTAGGGGTCGCTAGCCATAATTTCTTTCTTCTGCTTACCATGAATCTCATCTGGAGGCTGTGAATTCTCTGAACCCGTGTCTAGCTGGCGTCCCAGACTACTTCCTTCCATTGACAAACAGCAACATACGCTCTACTGTCCTCACAGGACGTCCAACACTGCCATCTGTAGCCATTGTGTCAGCCTCTGTGAACCGACCACCTTGCTGTGGTCTAGAGAATGTGTGGGGCATATAGTACCTACTCAAGGGATCCCCATACACTGAGGCTGCTCGTAGGTCTCTTCACTGCTCACTTTGTGCCTAGTAGAGTGGGAATATATATATATAGCTTGTGTATATGTGGTGTGTGTGTTTGCACGTGTGTGCACTTGCGTATATCCATGTTGGGTGTCTTCCTCAATCACTCTTCACCTTTTTCATTGAGGTAGGGTCTCTCAGTTGATCCCAGAGCTCACCAATGTGAGTCATGTAGCTAGGCAACTTGCTCGCAGCTCCCCCCACCCCCACTCCGCTCTGCCATTCAGATGCTGGGATTGCAGGTGGGCTTCCATTCACACCCAGCATTTACCTCAGCGCTGGGGATTAGAATTCTAGTCCTCACAAGGCACAGCAAGTGCTTTATCTATGGAGCCATCCTGCTGCCCCAGGTTTTATATTTTCTAAAGTCTTTTGGATTCACGTCTCACAATGGGATTTTAGAACAAATGCAGCTCTAGTAACAGTCGTTGCAGTATTTAACTGTGGGTCGGGCCAGCCCCCTTTCTGATCTGGGCCGGTGTTTCCTTCCTGAGACACTGAGGTGTTCTCCCTGCGCCTGAGGGGCCGCTGCCTTATGCTAATGTTAGTGTGGACTCAGATCATGCCCCCAGCACAGTGAAGTGCAGCCCACTGCTCCTGGTTCTCTGTGACTGGAATGTTCTAGTAAGCGGGGCGGAGGGCCACAGCCGGTGTTGTTAACACTGTGCTCAACAGTGGACTGTATACTTTTCATATGTTATTCTGCCCTCTTTTTTATTTATTTTTATTTTATGTGTGTGAGTGTATGGCCTGCCTGTGTGTAAGGGCACCCATGTTGTGCAATGCCCACAAAGGTCAGAAAAAGGCGTCAGGTGCCCTGGAAGTGGAGTTATGGATGGTTGTTAGCTGCCATGTGGGTGCTGGGAATCAAATCCCAGTCCTCTGTGCTCTTAACTGCTGAGCCATCTCTCTAACCCTAACTCTTACACTAAAGCCCAGAATTCTAAAAAATATTAGGCCAGGTGTGTTGGCATATACCTGTAATTCCAGTATTCCGGAGACTGAAGCAGGAGGACTTCTAGGCCAGCCTGGACTACATAGTGAGACGTTGTCTCAAAGCAGAAGAAGGTCTCAGCAGTCACTGATACAGCGAGCAGCCACATAGGCCCTCTGCCTCCTGGTATGCCAACGCCCGTTTTCCTTCTAGTTCTTCCCGAGTGGCTATGCCTTCGCCACCGGCTCCGATGACGCCACTTGCCGACTCTTTGACCTCCGTGCAGACCAGGAGTTGCTGCTGTATTTCCATGACAGCATCATCTGCGGGATCACTTCCGTGGCCTTCTCCAAAAGCGGGCGCCTCCTACTGGCCGGCTACGACGATTTCAACTGCAACGTGTGGGACACGCTCAAAGGCGACCGGGCAGGTGAGTGCCTGGGTTCTGAGGAGCTGGAAGAGGTTCCCAGCAGACAGGTGTAAAGATGGGTAATGAGGACAATCAGTCTAGTCTTAAAGACCAGTTTTCTTCTTCCTTCCTGTCTTTTGGGTTTGCTCTGTTGTTATTTTGAGACAGGGTCTCACTCTGAAGCCCAGGCTGCCTTTGAACTCCAGGAGAGCCTCTGCTTCTGCCTCCCAAGTGCTAGAATGAAATGTGCGAGCCACCCCTAGGCCAGGCTAAGCCACAGTTTTCTAACCTGACAGGAAACACTGTCTCTGCCGTGGCTAATCCTCCTGGAATTGACCTTGAGGACACAGGACTCAGAGACATTGTTAACTTCATCTGGACTCCACTGCAAGCTCCAGTGTATTAAAAAATGGCACATCAAACCACACTGGGGCTGTGGTTAATTAAATTTTTAATTGTCTGATGTTTTTAATTTTAATTAAAATTACTTAAAATTGGGGCTGGAGAGATGGCTCAGTGGTTAAGGAGGACCCAGGTTCAATTCCCAGCACCCACATGGCAGCTAAGAACCATCCTTAACACCAGTTCCAGGGGAATCCGAATCCGTCTTCTGACCTCCATGGCATTGCACTATACGGGTGCGCTCACATACATGCAGGCAATACACTCATACACATAAAAATAATAAATATATATTTTTAATTACTTAAAATTATACCCAGGGAATCAAATGGTTCTGTATGGATTGTTACTAAAACACAGCAAATGTTTTTTCTGCAATCAAGTTAATTGGCAGAGTGTAGAGGCACACGCCTGTAATCCCAACACTTGGGAGATAAACAGGAGGATCACAAGTTTGAAGCCAGCCTGGGCTACACAGTAAGCCCCTATCTCAAAGCAAACTTTCTATACTGTGCCTGTATTGCTATTGATTTTTTCTTTTCCTCTGCCTTTAGGCATTTCCACTGACCAGCTATCATCTGTGACAAGCCTTTGGCTTTACACCCATCCTCACAGCATCCACATCTCTCCCACCTCCCAGTTTCCCCACGTAGGGAACTGCAGTAAACAGTCAGCATTCTCTGTTCACAAAATGATGGCTCAAGTTTCTACCACTGAGCAGCAAGTTAGGAATACTAGGCCTTGTTGACACTTTGCTATGCAGCTTTGTATTCTAGAGTTAATTGGGGGGATATATAGAGATGTTATCTATCTATCTGTCTATCTATCTATATCTATATATATCTCTACACAGTTACACATACATATACATATGTATGTATATATATATGACAGAGTCTTCCTATCTCAAATCTACCCCAAGTGCTGCTGGGATTTAAAGATATGCGCTACCACACCTGGCTGGTGCATATTTTCAGTTCCAACGCACCGCTCAGTCATGAACCCACACACTTTGTTCTGAGTGGACCCTTTGCCATCTACTGTGCTGCCTCCTACTATGGTGCTGGGAAATGGGAGTTTGTTGGGTTGTTTCTCCTCCATCGCCGTTTCCAGACTCCTGTTGTCATGCTGGTGTGAGGCCCGGGAGCCTCCTCTGCCTCCTGGTTTTGTTTTCCGTATGTTCTGGAGAAATCATCCTGTTTCCAACCGCTAAGTTTTCAGTTTCTCTTCAGAGTGACCGTTCTATTTCCGTGGGTGAAGGCTTGGCCCGCCAAGGTTATCGCTTTCTCCCAGCATGGCTGCTGCGATTCCATGCTGGGTTCCCCTTTCCACTTCTTTGCTCCAGATTTTAATTATTTCCTTCAGTGTCTGGTGATTCTTGGTGTCTTTTTCATGCCTAAAATGAGGCACCGCAGCCTGTCTCAGGAAGGGCCAGGGCCATATGGGGGGGTCTTCTGGCACCTGTATATCTACATACATACACACACAAACATGTACATATATGCACATGCATACACATGCACATAAAGACATACTTGCATACATATACCTACACATACATACATGTACACACACATACAGAATATACATGCCTATAATATATATACACATACCTGTTCGTGCACACACATACATACACAGACGTGCATGCACGTGTACATACACATGTGCACTATATGCACACACACATACATGCACACATGAATGCATATACACATGCATATAGGCAAGCATATGCACATATCTGTACACATGCAAATACACATGTACACATACACATGCCTGCATGTGCATACACATGCCTGCATATATACACATGCATACATACACACATGTACATACATATATACACACTTGTACATGAATATATGCATTCACACATGTGCATTTATGTAGGTGCACACACATGTACACATGAATCTTTCCTCCATGCTAGGGAGGGAACTCAGGGCAAGAGCTCACCACTGCGTGCGTCCCGACATCTCTGGCCTCCTCTCCATGAACCAGCCTTGGCCCCTACCTGTAACTTCATCTTTCCTACTGGAGTGGAAAAGCTGACTGCCAGTTCCAGGACTGACTTCGAGTGGAAAGCAGAGTCACAATCCCTGAGGGAGCCCTAGTCCCCATCCTCACCAGTCTCAGCTGCTTCCTCTAGTCAGGAGACATCACCCCATCTTCGTCTGGGCACAGGATGGAGTGAAGTGATGCAGCACGGAGGATGGTGCAGCTTTCCTGACCCTGAGCACTTTCTAATGTAATATTGTTTTGACATATTTGTTCCTGCTCTAGCTCCAGAGACCCGTTTCTACCACTGTGGACCCTGCTGGAGGCTGTTCAAGATACTTTGGTTTCTTGGCTTACCAGATCTTGTTTTGTGGGTTTTAAATTTTTTTTATTTTTATTTTATGTGTACGCGTGTATTGCCTGCATGTAGGTATGTGCACCCATGTCATGCAATGCCCGCAGAGGTCAGAAGAGGCTGTTGTTAGCTGCCATGTGGGTGCTGGGATTCAAACCCGGGTCTTCTACAAGAACAACCAGTGTTCTTAACTGCTGAGCCATCTCTCCAGCCCCCCCTCCTTTTTTTTAAGAAAGTCTCACTGTGCAGCCCAAGCTGGCTGGAACTCACTATATAGACCAGGCTGGCCTCGACCTCACAGAGATCCACATGCTTCGGCCTCCCAAGTGTCTAACTTTTCTTTGAAATATTTACATTTCTCCCTCAAATACTGAGAATTGTTCATTTTTTAAATATTTATTATTTTTTATTTTATGTATGAGTGTATTACCTGCATGTGAGTGTACCTGTGTTGTGCAATGCCACAGGAAGGTCAGAAGAGGGCTCCGCGGATTCCCCAGCAACAGGAGTTAAGGACGGTTCGTAGCCACCATGTGAGTGCTGGGAATCGAACCCAGGTTCTCTGCAAGAGCAGTCAGTGCTCTTAACCACTGAGCCATCTCTCCAGCCCCAAGAATTGTTCACTTTTATCTTGGTGAGTCTAATGTTAGTGTGCCAAAAGAAACAAAAACTTGATGACCATGGTGGTTTTAGAAAGTTATAACCAACATTTGTGTTTGGTAGCTGACAAAAACAAACCACTGAATCATGTTGGTAGTTTTTGGATGATGGAAGGCAACTTGTTGTTGTTCTTATGGCAAAATCTGCTTCACTGAACTTCATTCATAGTTCTCTTTGTTGAAAGCAGCACAGCTCAGTACCAAAACTGGAATATCAGAAATTTGCTAGAGCTGTGGAATGAATGTCTACTTCTGTTTTCCTAGGTGAAAACATTATAAAATGGCCATGCCTGGTGGTGCACGCTCCCAGCACTGGGGAGGTGGAGGACCCGGAACTCAGGGTCATCTTGGCTAGGTACCAAGTTCAAGACTAGCCTGGACTACACTGAACCAGTCTCAAAAAGATTTTAAGAACAGTGTGACTTTTCAAAAATTAAAAACACAAATTGATGTTCATGTCACCAATTCAGTGGTGTGCTTAGCAGTGTGCTGTGCGGCCCTGACAGCAGTCTCACCAGAGATTTTGGGGGGTTTTGTTGTTGTTTTTGAGACAGGGTCTCCCTGGACTGGCCTCCACCTCGCAGAGCTGTCTGCCTCTGCCTCCTGAGTGCTGGGAATTAAAGATGTGTGCCATGTCCCACTACCTTCTAGATCTAAAGAACATACTTTTTCAATTTGTTTCTTAACTCTGTACCGGCCTTTCTTTGTAGGTGTCCTTGCTGGTCATGACAACCGTGTCAGCTGCTTAGGAGTGACAGACGACGGCATGGCTGTGGCCACGGGCTCCTGGGACAGTTTTCTTAGAATCTGGAATTAACGGTGACCTGTATTTTCTGTTCTCCGTTGCTATCTGGAGAAATCAATGCTACAGCCTATAGCTGTGAGAAAAAATTCTGCCTTCTATTTGCAGATGAAGATTTTTCTATTGAGATTATTATATACAAAAATCAGCTTTCAATAAGCGAAAAATAAATAAAATAGTGGGAAAAGCCGCAGTCAAGGCCAAGGTCCCTCCCCACTGAGGTCAAGGGGACTGGTATATTAATTGAGGAGTTGGGTTAATTTTAACCCTGACAAAGTTTTGCTTATACTAATTCTTCATGTGAAATTGAATGTACACTTTATAGTATTTGCTCATTGTTTTTGCATTTTTCTGAGGACTATACCTTAAGCTTTGTGTATATAAGAAATGTCACATTTTTTTTTTAGTGTTGTCATAGAACCAGGCCCAGCGACTGGTGGAAGTAACCCTGTGGATGTGTGTGTGCTGTCTGCAAGTCCCCTTGGATTTTGACATCCTCTTTAGCTTGGGCCCATGCCAGCTTCATGCTGAGGGTTGGTAGGTGAGGTGTCTCTCAGGGAGCAGGTAGCTGCTCCTGCACTCTTTGATGCAAGTGATCTGGTGGGTACTCGTTGAAGGCCTTCAGGGATGGGTGGCCTGAAATGCCAGAGGCAGACATCTAACTTTGACATAGGGGGGACACGTAGGACATTTCATGACCATTTATGATACCAGAACAGTAGATATTGGCATGCTGTTCTTGGTGTTCTAGAATACTGGAAACAGCTGGACCTTGCTGCTGACTTTACATTCTGAGTCTGTAGTGTTCATAGTTAGGTTTGATCATGTGACTTGTCCTTTCATCGAGAGTGTTCTCTGATAGGAAGTTATTTGTCTTAACATTCTTGAGTGATATTAAACAGCCATTCACTGGCACTAATTTATAACAGGGTAGATTTATAAATTTTATGTAACATAAAATCTGAATGGTATACATTATTTATGCCCTTACATTTTTCATTTGGGGGGGGGTGTGCTGCAGATGGAATCCAGGGCGTCGTGCATGCTAGGCCAAGTGCTTTACCCAAGTCATGTTCTCTGCTCCTTTAACTTTCTCCTTTCTGTTGTATTAGTGAGAAGTTGCTTCTAAGTAGCTGATTGTAAAGAACATCGAGAGCTGGGTAGCCCCACTCTGAAGTTCCTAAAGCAGTTTTTCCATGAGCCAGGAATGTGCCAAGCAGCTCCCCACTGGTCAGTGGTACAATAACATGTCTGCTACCAGGATGTCCTGCTCGAAACCTGAACAAATACCATTCAGTTTTCTCTTGCAAATGAATCCCAATGGTTGACACTTGCTGACAGTCTGGCTGGAGCAAGTAGTCGCAGGTTATTCTGAAGTGCATAAGTGCATTGTGTGTTGTAACTCAGTAAATTATAGGCGGTTTCCCTCATTCTGTGTTAACTTCTGACCACCTGTAAACTATGCTCAGACTGTACTTGATCTTCATTTTTAAACTATGCTCAGACTGTACTTGATCTTCATTTTTATATTTTGAATATGTTGATGCACATGCCTGCTGTAATGAAATCAGGGTCAGACAGAAGGGAATTAAGGTAACAGGATTAAAATAGAAAGAGGGCACAGATGGGGTGTGTACACCTGTATCCTGCTTAGGATTTCTGGGAACCCTTCACTACTGCATACACACAAATAAAATCTTAAAAACCTACCATAAAAACAAACCAGAAGTTGTAGTTTCTACTGCTGAGTTTTCCCTGTAGATGTCTTACACTTAATAAAACTTGAGACTTGGTCTTACAAGTAAAAACATTCAGGGAAATTTTATGGCTGAATGAAGACTTATGAATGAGTCAGCTGTAGCACAACACCTGTGTTTACTGCTAACCTGGAAAAGCTGACTGCATCCTCCAGACACATCTGCTATCATTTTGAAAAATACTTTTATTGGAGAATTTCATGGCCTGTCATCGTTTTAGCAAGGAATGTTCTTTTTAGAATGTAGGATTATGCCAGGCTTTTAAATACTGTGTTTAGTGTTTCTCTCTGGCCAGTGGGGAACATCATTTAAAACCACCTCTTAGCTCCTGTTGGAACTTTAAAGTTATCCACAAGCAAGTCAGTCTTACGTGAAGGATAGGAGGGCACTAATACGTATGTGATGTGGGATCCTACAGAATGCGGGGAGGCGCCAGGCTCACTCTCCTATTCACCTTGGTTACACAGGCAGCCATAGGATGCCAGTCACAGACTGATGGGACACCCTGGGCTTGGGGAACGTTTTCCATGTTGATAGTCATTGGTAACAGTTGGTTCTGTAAAGCAGATATAATGTAGCATTATGAGGAAAAGACCTGTCTCAGCTAGTGTTGACTGTACCCAGCAGAGTCCACATCACAAGCAGACTTGGCACTAGCAGCCCCGTGGTGTGCTCCCAGGCCCTTCCGTCCTCACAACGGTGCTCAGCCAGCTGCTCTGTTCAAAGCATTTGCCTTGTCTTAGCCGAAGGCACGAGATGCACCATTTCAAGCACATCCTGAAACTGTTCTAAGTATTTTTCCTGTAAGGCACTTTGGAAGTGTTTTTCTTCACCCAAAAGTTTCTACACAGGTGGTCAACTGGCCACTAATGTCAGCCCTAGCCATCCACAAACTGTGGCCTGATTTAGCAGTGTCCTCAGATCTTACAGTGATTCATCCCTTTATTTGTACAATTGCTTGTGAAATATTGTTGCTATGAACTGATACTGTAATCAATAAAGTGCTTTTAACTATATAGTTCATTGTACCTTATTTTAAGTCAAAATTCTATTAATAAATAAAATTTTAAAAATTAAGCCCCAGTCCATTTGGTCAGCCCAAATTCCTTAATCTAAACATCGGTCATTTAAAAAACAGTATTTGTTTCTATAGGTGGGTACCTGTATGACCTGTATACCACAGGTGCCCGTGGAAGCCAGAAGAGAGATTCCCCTGAAGCAGTTATGAGCTGCCTGATGTGGGTGCTGGGAACTGAACCTGGGTTCTCTGGAAAAGCAGTACGTGCTCTTAACCACTGAGCCATCTCGCCAGTCATTACACTGGCCATTTTTTTTTTCCCATGAAAAAGGAACAGACTTCAGAAGCAAGGAAGAGACTGGATGCTGCCAGCCCACCTGGCTCACTCTTAAAGGACAGATTCTCATTACTACTCCTTCCCTGAACTGAGCACAGGGCCCCAGGCTGCAATTCCAGTACTTGGGAACGTAGAGGCAGGAGGATCCCAAGTCTGAAGCCATGCGGTCCCTATAGCTGTTAGAATAATCCCAGTTTTACTTTCAGAGTCAATTCTGCTTAGAGTACAGATTCTAAATGCTTTTATTCTCTCTCATTATAATCTTGGGATTAATGAGGAAATTAAGATAAAGATGTACCCATTCTGCCCAGCTGCAGAATTACCGTGGGAAACCTCAAACTGCCCCCTCCCCCACCCCAACAGCAGTGGACAACATATGCTCTTACCCTTCCAGCCACTGGCCAGCCAAGGAAAGGAAATGACAGTAACAGTCATCAGGTCCACCAGTGCAAGGCAGCGTCCTGCCGGGTCAAACGAGTGCACGTGGAAGTTGAGGTCACTAACGGGAGTATCAATGATGCATTTGTCAGCTAACAGGCAAATAGATTTATTTTCATCTTGCAAGTTTGCATACTTAGAAAATCTTCTGTAAAAAGTTCAAGCTTATACAAAGTTTATAAATAATTCTATAGACATACACAGTAAATACTCAAGTGAAACTCTGGGCTATAACGGATGTAACTACAAACTTTCTGTATTACGCATGGACCCAGCCACAGGTGCACTTACATCCAGGCGTAAGAACTGGCTGGCTTTCAGCATTTCAGCGTTCTGGTCTCAACAGCCATACGTTTTCTACACTTTGTCAGCTGGAACAACATTCTAATCAGGGTGGTAAGTACACCGTACCAGCAGCACAGTACAGGTGACCCCAGAATCCATAGTGCGTCAGAACACCCACAGGGCTTGCTTAACTGCGGACCCCAAACCTGGAGTCTCTGATGCCATACGTCTGGGTTGAGGCCTGAGACTCTGCAGTTCTTACAAGTTTAAAAATAATGCTGATGACCCAGGGACCACACTTGGAGAACCACTGTACCATGCTACCTTTGCAGCCTATGTTAGCGGACCTTGATTTCACACATTTTCATAAGATTTTCACCTCATCCTACTTGGTGGCCTGTGCCATGTTTTGGGTTAAAAATCAGCAATAAAAGCAAAAAGTAGTTACAGGTATTTAGATTTGAATACTGCAGTCCAATACCCGATTTGCATAAGACAGAAGTGAGACATTTCTATGGCCTAAAACACCCTTTAAACACCTTAAAAGGTGGCGGTGCGCCTACGTGAAGGCAAACTAGCACCAGGAGCCTTAAAAGGCACAGAAAGGTAAGTGCTGAAAAGAAAAGGCCTCAAATTTGGACCCTCAACACCCTGTGGAACACAGCGTCCCCTAAGATGGCACCCTTGGACTGACAGGCATCCACTTAGCGTTCCTCTGTCATAATCAGGTCAGAGAACCTGCCACTTGGAAGTATTTCCACAGGTGTCAGTCAGCTCAGCTCAGAAGCAGATATGATAGTTGAACCACAAACCTTTCACTACAATAGGAAAACAGTGACAATTTTTAACAAAGCCCCAGAAAATTCACATACAGTAAAAGCCCCCAGTGGGGTTGAGCCCAGTGCCCGCCATCAAGCACCTTCCCAACACCTCCATCCAGCTTCGCTGTCAGGTCCCCACCCTCCAGGCAGACCTCCTGGGCCCCTGCCAGCCACCTCCATCCCTTCAGACCTTCCAACTCACAACAAGGCAGCAGTGCTCTCCCTGCCAGACTCTCGCCCTGGGGTCCAACTAGATTTCATAGCACAGATGCTTCTTAAGAGATAGAAAACTAGACCAGACACTTCATGTATGCTGTAAGGACAGGCTTGCTCCTGTTTCACATCAGCTTTAATGGGATAAAAGGGTAAAAACACCATGCTTATTAGTGGTTTACATCTTGCTGTGCTGGCCAAGGGACTGTAACTTGCATAAATACTACACCCAAGAACAGCCCGCACTCCCTGGTGTTAGAGCAAGTTAGCTTAAAAACCAGATTTCCTATTCCCATAAAGAAGGCATCAAAAACTCATGCTGAGGAGGATGACAAGCTCACTAACTCCTGGATGCCAGGAAGTGGCTCTTTGGAGCCCTAAGGAGGCCACAGGACCCAGCCCTCAGCCATCGCAGCTGGTTCTGCTGCTCTTAAACCAATTCATCATCTAACCCATTTAGTCTCTTCTTTACTCCAAACTAAAACTAATGACGTATCACAACACTCTTCAAAAGGCACAAACACCCTGAGACAGACTACCACAATCTATGCAGAGCGTTACAACTTATAGTTAGTGTAATTCATATTGAAGTCATTCCATAAAAATAACAGCTCTCCCGTTCTCCAAGCTCCGTGTCTTCTGAGGTGGTCTCCGCAGCACTCGTCACTATGACTCCTCATTCCTCAAGTGCAGAAACTGCTTCGAAAAATTCTCCAGCTCACTTTCAAGTTGATCAGCTTTATTTCTAAAAAAGTAAAACAGCAACCTAACTATTATAACAGTCAATGAGAAAAATACATTCTATCCAAACTTTAAACAGCATTCTAGCGAGCTGCTGCTATGCTTCTTAAAACTCAAGTCTGCCCACTACTGTCCACTCTGGGCTATGAGCACTCAGGTCACAGAGATGACCAGCAACACTAAGATGGGCAGAGACAGACAACAGACACCGACGGCAGTTACACCTTAAGTCACAGCCATGTGTGAAGCTGCCTTCAAGGGAAGCATGAGGTACCGGCAAGGCACTGCACGGCTTCTGCAGCCTGCAGAGACGTGGGCCAGGGTCCCCCTCCACCAAGAACACTGCCAACACCAGAGTCACACTTGATGCATGCCAACTGGAAGACAGGAAGCCTGACTAAACTGACAGTCCAGACCCGCATAGCTTGTCCTCGAAGGTGCTAGGCATGTGCTCTTGGAGTAGGGCCCTATGGGACAAGAGGGGCTCTTGTCTCTGAACATAGGACTGCACTGAGATCACAGAAGGCAACATACATGCACTCTGAATACCAGTGAATGCACTGCTCCCAGAGAACACTCCTGAAGGACGTGACAGTTGGCTGAGCCCATGCTAAGCAGTCGCGCCTCACTCAGGCCCGCCATCGGGAAGAGCAAGGTGTGAACGTTGCAGAGTGCACTCAGCCAGGGCTGGAGCCTGCCACACAGGGCCCTGTGCTGAACGCTGCAGGCATTTTACACAGTGGAACTCATGTCCACAAACACACGGACTATCACCTTACAAAAGCTCCATCACTAAGCCACAGGAAATTTTCAGGTCCATATAATCTTTAAGGGCCACCATTGAATACAAGGTTTGTCACTGACCCAAACATCATCAGGTAGGTTGATGATAAATGTATTCTCTCAAAATTTAGGATCTCACTCGGGCATGGTGGCACAGGCCTTTAATCCCAGCACTTGGGAGGCAAAGGCAGGAGAATCTCAAAGCTAGCCTGGTCTACACAGTGAGTTCCAGATCACCTGAGGTTATAGGAAGACCCTGTCTCAAAAAGACCAAAAAAAAAAAAAAATTCAGGATCTTAGAAACAGTCCTCCAATCTGTAAACACTGACCACAAGCCCCTCAACAGGCATGGCTGCAGGCCCTGCACCTCCTGAGCTGACACTGGTCACAAGCCCCTCACAGGTACGGCTGCAGGCCCTGAAGAGCAATGGCACTCGCTTGGTCCTTAAGGATTCTCCAAGACAGGCTAGCAAGCGGGTTTGGGGGTAGGAAGTGAAAAGTCAGAACTGACATGTCAGTTGTGTCACCAGAACAAATGTTTCTGGATCCCAAAGGCTCCACAGTGCATTGCCCTAAAGCAGAGCCACACTATCAGGAAGCCGTGTACACGCTCACTGCTGCACACACAAGGGGACTTGGTCCCCAGCAAGAACGGGCTCTGCTTATAGACACAGGACTAAAAACTCTTTGTTTCTGAGGGTCTGGTGTGGCCCCGGCTGACCTTGAACTTGCTATGTAGATGAGGATCCTCCTGCATCTGCCTCCCAGAGGGAGGCAGTCGTTTTTAATTACAGAATGTTTATTCAGAAAGAGCACCAACCTAATCTATAAAGGAGTAAAAGTCTTATAAAAAATTCCTTTTAATTCATAGTCATTCTCTTATGAAATTAGCTTTCACTGCAATTCTAAAACATGGAATTAAACATGAAATTTTTTTCCAAGTCAGTATCTCACTGTGTAACCCCAGCTGCCTTGGAACTTGCTATGTTGATTAGACTGGCCTCAAGCTCTAAGGCATACGTCACCACACCTGATCAAACATGGAAATTAATTTTAGCCAACACAGAAAGTTATTTTAAAAAGTTCTAATACAGTTGGTCATGGTGGCGCACACCTCTAATCCCAGCACTCCAGAGGCAGAGGCAGGCGGATTTCTGTGAGTTCAAGGCCAGCCTGGTCTACAGCTGGGGCTACAAGGAGACCCTGTCTCAAAAAGACCAAAAAAAAAAAAAAGAGTTATAATACAAACTCATTAGTGATTTATATGATTGTACTTTGGATGTGGGGTGACAGTAAATGTTCATGTTACTGAGAGGAAAAAGTTAAAATACCTTAGGAGCTTTGAACTTTTTTGTATTTTCTCCAATTGATCTATTTCTTTGGATAATCTAGCAATTTCTTCTTCCAGATGTTTTTGAGTAACATCAACTTGTTGGCACAGGCGAGCAAAGGTGGTAGCCATTTCTCTTTAAAATAAAAGAAACAGAGAAGCAGTCATGAATGTCTTCTAAAATGAATAACCTTAACAAGGAGAAAAGCTTTAAGATATATTAAGGTATTTATTATTTTTATTTTATGTGTAGGAGTGTATTGTCTACATGAATGTAAGTGCACCCGTGTCGTCCAATGTCCATGGAGGCCAGAAGAGGGCATTGGATCCCCTGGAACTGGAGTTACATATGGTTGTTAGCCACCATGTGGGTGCTGGGAATCAAACCTGGGTCCTCTGCAAGAGCAGCCAGTGCTCTTAACTGCTGAGCCAGCTCTGCAGACCCCAGGAGAAAAGCTTTAATATCTAAATCGGAATCGAAGCACACAGCTAAAGGTAACTGAGGAGAGGCATGGTACTTGTAACTTGTAGCTGCAGGTCGTGTCACCTGGCCACCAGGCCAAGTGCTCAAGAGGCCGTTGTCCTACCCCTGCGCCCGACGCCTGCGTGTGGCTACAAACAGGATGCAGGCAGAACCAGCTGCAGGAGACAGCAACACAGAACAGGATCTCTTCAGAAGCATTCTATTCTCTTTGCTCAATAAAAATAAGAAATTGTTGAGACTAAGAAAAAAATAAGAAAGATCTATCCTATGAACGTCTGTGAAGTAGAAAAAAATACTTTAAACCATAGAAAAAAATGTTTCCAGAACCAAAGGGCTGTACCTGGGCTGAGTGCTACCCAGTGCACTGGCCCTGGCAGTGTCTGCACCTCACCCAGGAGCACGCCTGGAATGCGTGCACCCCACGTGGCTCTCACACCTCTTTGCAACCATCCTGGGCACTGCACTGCCGGCCTTCTTAGTCTTTGCCTTCTCCACTCTGAATCCCAATATGACACAGGAAGCATTTTCATTAAGTTAATTTCACCAAACAGTGATCTTTCACTAGAACTGTTTAAGTATCCGAGGAGCCTCCATTAGAATGTAAAAGAGGACCAAATTACCTTCCAACTTTTCAGTTCCCATAATTCCTTGTAATAAATGCTATATGAACAAAAAAGGACGAGGTAGCTCACAAGCCCTAATCCCAGCACTCAGGAGCCTGAGGCAGGAGGATTACCATAAGTTAGAGGCCAGCCTTGGCTACAGAGTAAGTCCCTGTCTCAAAAAAAACCAACACAATCAAATCAGAAGTCTGTCCATACCTAAGCTCACTTAAGTGCTAGGGGTTCACTCTTCATAGTTAAGAAACCACAAACACCTTAGAGGAACTTAACTCTGACCAGGTCAGCTGAAGCACTATTCCTTAAAAGACCTCCAGGGTCCTGGGGAATGCCAACAGACTAATCCACCAGAGACTGGGGAGAACTGGCAGTGAGGGACAGGAAATGAGGGCTTAGTTCATCACGGTGGTGACCACAAAATGTGACTCTCAACTTTGGGGAGTGCCCCGTCCCCCCACTCACTGTTGCACTTGGTGGCTGCAGCTGGCACTTGTGAAGCTCACGATCATCTGCAGTTTCTCCGTTGCATAATTCACAAACTGCTGCTTAAAAGCTCTCTCTTTGGCACGCGTGGTCCAGGTCAGCCTTTCATATAAGTACAATGCTCCGTACATGCTTAAAGAAACAGAGATGAGTTTCCAGCCCACTGTTTTCCAAATCTGCAAGATAAAGTCACAGCTCACTCTGAGAAGGAAATACACACAGGAAAAGGCATTGTGACCCCTTGATTCACCATCTAAGAAAGCATATACTGTACACACAGAAGGCAAACATGGTGCCTGGCCCCAACTGACACATCCACAGCAACCCCTGCACCTAAGGATCGGGAACACGAGGAAAGGGAAGATCATAAGAGCCACAGGAACAGAGCGGCTACTCACGACCGAGGGAGCAACCTCTTTTAATTATGACTTTAATCAATTTATACAAGTAATTCTGGCTTTAACTCAATTGCCACAATTAATTATCCCTTATCCAACCCCACAAACGCTTAATGGTGACAGTGAAGATCAAAGACTGATCTGATTCCAGAGATGGTACTGGATGTTGATGTCTCCTGATAAACCTTACATTAACTACAGTTTAGTCAACCAGATCTCCATGTCAGGCAACCGACAACCACTTGTAACTCCAACTCTAGGGGTCCAACACCCTCCTCTGGCCTCCTTGGGCACATGTATTCACGTGTCCATACCCATACCCAGACACATACATACACAGTTACAAGTGAAAACAAATCTTTCTAAAGAAGCAACTTTTATTACAGCAGAAATTTATCTACAGAGAAACAGACAAGAAAGAGGCCGTGCCACCTCCTCCCTCCCTGGCTCATGGCTTATGGGAACACAAATTCCCACTGTAAAAACTTCTCCATTCACAGCAGAGACCCTGTCCCCACTACTGCCAACAGGACAAAGCACACAAAGATGGTGGCACCAAAGGACACAAAGCCCCAATCCTGGCCGCAGCCTCTGAATTGTTTCAAATGTGGAAAAGCAGGCCATTTCCAAACAGCATAAACAAAAAACTACTAGCAACTTTCAGCTTAATAAATTCCCACCTAAAATACATCCAATATGTGCAAAAGGCCTCACTGAGCCAATCAATGTCACTTTGTATTTGATAAAGGAGGAAATTCAATTTTAAGAATGGGGAACTGAGCAAGTGCCCAGGACAACATGGTGATACAACCAGCTCTCCTACACTCGGCTCAGAATCCCAATGCTCCAGCAGCCATCCATCATAGGAAAAAATTAAAAGTAGGGTAGGGTGTGGTGGGGCACGCCTTTAATCACAGCACTTGGGAGGCAGAGACAGGTTGGACGGATCTCTGTGAGATGGAGACCAGCCTGGGATACATAGTGAGTTCCAGGCTAACTGGGGCTACAGGGAGTCGCTGTCTCAAAAAACCAAAAAAATTTTTTTAAATAAAGTATTAAAATTAAAATGCACTAGAGCTGAAGCGATGACTCGACAGTTAAAAACACTGCTCTTCGAGAGAGCCCAGTTCAGTTCCCAACACCCACATGGCAACTAACACCAGTCTCTAACTCCAGACCCAGGGGTACTACCAACTCTTCTGGCCTTTGCAGACACCAGGCACACACACAGTGCACTTAACATGTGGGAAAACACTCATACACATAAACAAGAGGTAAATCTAAAGCAAACAAACAAGACAAAAATGCACTTCTCCATGAGGAAATCTGGTCAAAATAGTGTATCAGGACAGACTTTCACAGCCTGCTATATTTGGTAGGTTGGATTCCTCTCTCAACAATAGTAACAACAGGCTGGAGAGATGCTCAGCAGTTAAGAGCACTGGCTGCTCTTGCTGAGGACCTGAGGTCTGTTCCCAGCACCCACATGGTACCTCACAACCACTAACTCCAGTTCCAGAGTATCCAACGCCGTCTTCTGACCTCTGCGTGCATCGCTTACATGGGTGCATTTACAAACATGCAGGCAAAACACTCAATACTCATAAAATCAAAATAATAATGTAAATTTCTTTTAGGTTAGAGGCTTCAAAAAACCAAAATAGATTTGTATATATACACACATACATCATGTTAACAAACTGAAAAAAATAACTAGCAATTTTTTTTTTTTTTTCGGTCTTTTTGAGACAGGGGCTCTTCCTGTAGCCTGTTGGCCTGGAACTCACTGCGTAGACTAGGCTGTCCTTGATCTCACAGAGATCTGCCTGCCTCTGCCTCCCAAGTGCTAGGACTAAAGGTGTGTGACACCATGCCCAGCATGACTAACAGTCTTTAAGAATGATCCCACAAGTATTCAGAGACAGCCACAGGAACACCAGGCCCTTCTTTTCCGTTTGGTGTCAGGGATCTGACAGCACTCAGGAACGACAGGAAGTGCTCAGGAATGACAGGAAGGGCTCAGGAATGACAGGAAATGCTCAGAAATGACAGGGAATGCTCAGGAACGACAGGAAGTGCTCAGGAATGACAGGAAAGTGCTCACAACCCCCTCCCCCCACTGGACTTCTCTTGTACCAATGCATTAATATCACTTCTTTGTGTACTACGATGTGAAAATTGGTAGTTTAAAAAAAAAAAAAGATACGCCGGGCATAGTAACACACACCTTCAATCCCTGCACTCAGAGACAGGCGGATCTCTGTGAGTTCAAGGCCAGCCCTGTCTACATGGTGAATTCAAGGTCAGCTGGGGCTACAGGGAGACCCTGTCTCAAAAAGACCAAAAAATAGCAATAATAATAATAAATTAAAGAACAGACAGGGCTGAAGAAATAATTCAGTGCAGTGCCTGCTTAGCAAATGCAGGGCTCTGGGCTCAGTCACCAGCACTGCCCTAAAGCAGACAAAACCACCCGGACAGATGGTGTTTCCTTGTAAAAATACAGAGAGGGGTGTGTGTGTATGTATGTGTGTGCATGTGTTTGTATGTGTATGTGTGCATGTGTTTGTACATGTATGTGCATGTGTATGTGTGTGTATGTGTGTGCACGTGTGTGTGTGATAGTTAAGACTAAACTCAAAATCTTCCTTACTGGCTCCTTTTTCGAAAATATTTATTGTTTTTACTTTGTGTATGAATGCATTGCCTGCATGTGTGTAAGTGCACCTGTGTCATGCAGTGCCCTCAGAGGTCAGAAGAGGGCATTGTATCCCCTAGAACTGGAGTTACAGATGCTTGTTGGCTGCCATGTGGGTGCCGGGAATATAATCTAGATCCTCTGCAAGAGCAGCCAGTGCTTTTAACCACTGAGCCGTCTCTCCAGCCCCTCATTCAAATTTTCACACACTATAGATCCTGAGAACACAGTAAAATACACAGAGTTGTGACAGTTTTCACCCTACATTTATTAGATGTCTGTTTCTTACCACGCCTCCAATAACTATGACGCCCATAGATGTTCTAGATGTGAGGGATGCCAAGCCTGTGATCAGGGTGATCATGAGCTCCTCCTGGGCCACATTGTCTGGTGCTGCTGGATTGGCAGGAGCAGTGGGTGTTGAAGTTAAAGATCTAGGGAGCTGGTAAATTTAGGAGAAAAAACAGAATAGTACATTCATAAAGTTAGTTTTAAAAATTAAAGCAAATTTATATGTTTAAAAAAAAAAAAAAAAAAAACTCCAAATAATGAGCACAACACCAATCCAGGAAGTGAGATGGACCAAGAGTACTTCCTCAGACAGCTCCTCCTGGGTTGCCTACACGGCATGGGATGCATAGGCTTCTGGCCTCAGTCACCCAAGTGCTGAAATCACAAGTATGTGCCCTTATAGAAATAGCGTCTATAGGGCTGGAGAGATGGCTCAGCAGTTAAGAGCACTGACTGCTCTTGCAGAGGACCCAGGTTCAATTCCCAGCACCCACATGGTGGCTATGAACTGTCCTTAACTCCAGTTCCAGGGGAATCCGAAGCCCTCTTCTCACCTCCGTGGCACTGCACGACACAGGTGCACTCACATACATGCAGGCAATACACTCATACACATAAAATTAAGATAACAAATTAAATTTAAAAAATAAGGGAGCCGGGTGTGGTGGCATGATTCTCTAGCATACACATAAAATCAAAATAATAAAATATAGGCCAGCCTGGTCTACATAGTGAGTTCCAGGACAGCTGGAGCTACAGGGAGACCCTGTCTCACAAAGACCAAAAAAAAATAGATAAAATATTTTTTAAAAAAAGAAAAGAAAGAAATAGCATCTGTGACAGAGACGAGTGGTATAAAGAACATTTAGCAATAACTCAATAGGAATTGAAACTGTATTTTTCAAGATTTATTTTTGGTTTTGGTTTTTTGAGACAGGGTCTCCCTGTAGCCCCAGCTGGGCTAGAACTCACTATGTAGACCAGGCTGGACTTGACTTCACAGACATCTGCTTCTGTCTGCCTCCCAAGTGCTGGGATTAATTAAAGGCATGTGCCACCAAACTTGGCTTGTTTTTAATAACTTGGCTTATTTTTATAATTTCTAATTATGTGTATGTGTATGCCTCTGTGTGAGTGCCTGTCAAAGTCAGAATGGGGCACCTGGCACCCTGGAGCTGGAGTTACAGGCGGCTGAGTGCTGATGTGAGTGCTGGAAAAGCTTAGGTTCTCGAGAAGAGTAAAATTCTCTGCAGTCCCAGGAATTAAAACCGTACTTCTTAAGAGACAAACTGTGTGTTTAGCTTGTACAATACCCTGGCTTAATTTCCCAGCACTTTCTGTTTTCTGTAAAACAAAAACAAAAATGCTCCAAATGAAAAGCATAATCCATAAGACAAACAAGTAGAAAGCCCAGGTAAGAAAGACTTCAAAATAAAAACCTGGGGTTGGCAGGATGGCTCAGCAGGGGAAGGTGCTCGTCACTAAGCCTGATGGCCTAGTTTGATCCTCAGAACCCACATGGTAGAAGATGACTCCTGCATGTTGTTCTGACCTCTACGCTCACATCACAACGTGCTCATTTGCGTATACACACACACACACACACACACACACACACACACACATGAGCAAGCAAGTACGCACACATACACAAACAAAATAAAATACTTTTTAAATAAAAATGTATTAGCTGGATGTAGTCATACACGTAATGTCCGCACTCAAGAGCTGCGGCAAGAAGACTACCCTAAGTTCAAGGCCAGTTTGGCCTACACAGTAAGGTCCAGGCCAACCTGAACTATAGCATGAAACCTCAAAAAACCAACAACCAACCAACAAACCTTTTAAACTTCAACACACCAAAGAAAATTAAACGACAAGACACATACTAGAAAAATATATTTGGGGGCTGGAGAGATGGCTCAGCAGTTAAGAGCACTAAGTGCTCTTGCAGAGGACCCAGGTTAGATTCCCAGCACCCACATTGTGACTAACAACTGTCCATAACTCCAGTTCCAGGGACTCCAACACCCTCTTCTGACCTCTGAGGGCACTGCACAACACACGTACACTTACATACATGCAGGCAATACACTCATACACATAAAATAAAAAAGAAAAATATATTTGAATTATATATCTGATTAAAGAGATTCGTATCTGGAAGACAGAATTCCTAAAACATAATAGAGGCCAACTAATCCAAGTAAAAAAAATATAAAAAATGGAAGACAGTTCACAAAAGAGGCCACTAAAAGGCTTATAACCACAGGGAAAAGTGTTCAAAATCAGGCACCAAGGAAATGTAAATCAGCCTACCTCCAGCCACACCACGCCCACTGGGATAAAAGACAGCAGTGTTGGCACGTGGGCCTACAAACTAAACCCCAGGGCTGGTGGAACGAAAACAGCACAAAAGATTAAACACGAAATTCAGGTGTGACATCCACCTGTAATCGCAATGCTCAGGAATCTCTTAAGTCTAAGACCAGCCTGGGCTACGAAGTGAGACCTTGTCCTTAAAAGCAGAGCCAGGCGTGAGTTCCAGGTCAGCTGAGGTTACAGAGACCCTATCTCAACAAACAAGCAAGGTGTGGTGGACAGGCCCATAATCCCAGAAGGTGGAGGCAAGAGGACCCTAAATTCAGCATCATCGTCTCAGCCAGATACGAGTTTAAGGCTAGCCTACATGGCCGGGAGAACATACATACATATACAAACACACACACACACACACAAACACACACACACACACACATAAAAACACAGCTAACCCTGAGCCAGCATGTGGCCTGCAATCATCCCTCACATAGGGATGAGAACACATGTCCCTGTGACAGCACACATGCGTTCACTGCAGCTCTGTGCACAAACAGCTGCACTATGCGACCAGTATCCAACACTGCAATGGGTGAAAACAATGGTCATGTACACAGAAGACCGTTTTCAGCCACACAGAATGAAGTTCTGCCATTTGTGGAGAAAAGGACACAGCTGGAGACGGCGCATCAAGTGAACCAGGTCGGTCTCAAGTACTTGTACCTCCTTTCCTCTGTGGGTCCTGGACATTACAGACGCCTAAAATCACAAAGGCCAGGTGTGGTGGCACACACCTATAATCCCAGCACTAAGCAGGCAGTCAGGCAGATCGCTGAGAGGTCGAGGCCAGCCTGTTTACACAGCAAGTTCCAGGCCAGCTGGGGTGCAGGGAGATCATGCCTCAAAATAAGTAAATAAATAAATAAAATCACATAGGGACAGATGATATGAAAGTAAAGGAAAGCTACCTCGGAACAAAGGGGACTAATGGGAGGTGGAGAAGGGGAGGGGAATAAGATCATTTGGATCTGGCCCAGGGACCTTCAAATGAGTATAAATGGGCTGATGTATATGGAAAATTATCTTTAAAATTGCTTGCCGGAGCTTACTCAAGTCTGAAATAGCCAGTGGAATGTGCCGTGCTCGAACTGCAGAAGCGAAGCAACACTGAGGCACATGAGAACATGCTGAATGAACCAGGCCAGGCCTGTGAGGCCTTACCTGACACGATCCCACTTACAGGCAAAGTCAGAGGGCAAATCTGACTCAGTAGGATTAGTGGGAGCTGGGAGGCGTGAATGATAACTCATTTACAACTGATCATGGTGATGGTTTTGTAACTCCATAAATTTCCTTAAAAATTGTAAAATTAACAAATTTTATTTTATTTTTTGGTCTTTTTGAGACAGAGTCTCCCTGTAGCCCCAGCTGGCCTGGAACTCACTATGTAGACCAGGCTGGCCTTGAGCTCACAAAGATCTGCCTGCCTCTGCCTCCCGAGTGCTGGGATTAAACATGCACACCACCACGCCCGGCTGAAACCAAACACTTAAGAAAATAAAACTTTCTCAAGTCACAGGGATGGCTCAGTGAGTAAAGGTACTTGCTGCCAAGCCTGAGGATCTGAGTTCAAGCCCTAGAAGACACACTGTAAAAAGAAAAAACTGACTCCTGCATGTCGTCCTCCATCTCCACATGCAGGCCTGGCATTTATATGCATGTGCACACACATACACACACACAAGAAAAAAGTGCCCTAACCGAACACAGACCATCTTACACTAGTAGATGGATCCCAGTCGAGCTTGAGACAGTCCGGCTCCTAACAGACAGGTCTGGTTTTATTAGAGAAAGCTGCATAGACAAAGTACAAGTTTCAACTGGTAGGTCAAAGACACACACCTGAAAGACGGGCTCTGACAGCCCGAGCAGCACCCTCTGTGCATTTGTGGAGCCCAGGAATCGATGCACGAGGGAAGACCAGCCCAGGGAAAATCGGAACACGATATCCTCCTGAAAATCTGAACACAGCTTGTGGCAATTGAGGTCATAGCTGAGGTCAAATTTTTTGCAAGGGATCAGTGTGTGAAGCTTGTTCTGTATGCCAGCGGGGAGCAACGGCTTCAAGTTTTCTAGAGAGAAACAGTACATGGATTTTAAGAAAACAGCAGTGTTTATACTCCTTTGTCTTCTACACAATGCACCCAAATCAAGTAACCCTTAGGGAGGGAGGGGGGAGGGGGAAGGAGACGGCTGCACTTGAACGTGAACATTACCGATGATTTCCTGCTGGGACTGAAACATGGAGGCATTCACTTCGCTGGTGCAGCGGTCGGCCAGGTTCCTCCCCATGCCGTCCTCAATGTGCTTGTTTAACTCCTGTCAGGATCGCAAATGCACATGTTCTGAAAGACTGCTTAAACAATCTTGATCTCGCTATCAGAGCATAGTTTTTGGGGTGCTGGTGACTGAACTTGGAGCTTCACACATGCGGAGCTCCATCCCCAGGCCCTCTGTGTAGTTTTATGTATGAGACACTACATTAGAGAGGAGCTCTGATCTGTACACTGACTGCCCAGAATGAACCAAAATGGCCAGGCCACTAAGTCAGCAAGTGCAGAATGCCTGAGGGTCCTCTCCGAGGAACCTGCCACAACTTTAACTTACACTCTTATACACTTTCAATACACTCGGGGTAGGATGAAACTCGGAACAAAATTCATCTACCAAAACAGACAGTCGACAAATTTCATCTGTCATTGCACATGAAACCTGAAAACATTAAAAAAATCAGTTAAAAAAGTTAATTCATGGGCAGCCTGGGCTACACAGCAAAACCTTCTCAAATAAATAAATGATAAAAATAAAAGACCACCAACTACTCAGAATATGAAATTTGGGCATATACATTCATTTAAGGGGACAGACAGCCCCTGCAGCAACACATCTCTGCTTCCAGATGCAGTCGGAGCTCCCGTACCTTGTTTGCCACCTCCTCTGTCACCTCCTTGATTTTCTTCTTGACATCCAGTGTTAAAAGGTTCATTTGGTTTCGAATAAAGTCCAATCTATCAATTTGGTCTTCCCTTTCTTCCATTGAATAAACCCTATTTTATTATGAAGAACCATCAATATTCAGGGTACATTAAATTCCTAAAGCAGTTAAGCAAGGTCACATTTATACACTGAACTATGAGCATGACAAGAAAAAAGAAGTCCTGTATGTCCAAGCCTGACTTACCAAGTCCTTGGGGTAGCAGACTTCACACAATGACACTGTCTGTAGGCCCACCTGCCACCGACCTCCTACAAAGAGCTGGTTAGGATGCTAAGTCTCTACACAGTAGACAAGCAAAACCACTCTGCCCCTCCTGTGACCTGTGCCCTCTCTACAGATGAGTGCTTTGGTGCTAATGCAGAAACGACCAGACACAAGGAGGTGGAGAAGCTCCACACAGCCGAGAAAGTACTCAATATCCTGTTTTTTAAAGTCAGTAATGTCAGCTGGGGGTGGTGGCGCACACCTTTAATCCCAACACTCTGGAGGCAGAGGCAGACATATCTCTGTGGGATCGAGGCTAGCCAGGTCTACAAAGGAAGTTCCAGGCCAGCTGGGACTACAGGGAGACACTGTCTCCCAAAAAAATTAGTAAAGACAGTTAGGTAGACTACATGTGAGATACTACAAAAAAGGCAGTCAGGCTGCAGAGGCCTTCAGCAGCAACATACTTAACACACGGGCTGTATGGAGAGGCTGCCGGGGCTGAGATTGGCTCGGGGCTCGTGCTTTGGGTTCCCAGTGGGCAGGTCTCCACTTTTGTATGTAACGCACTGCTAAAAAGTACAAAAGCCAAGGAACAGACCTGTGTGTGTGTTGGGGGCGGGGTGACAGGTGTTCCAAGCAGAAAGACACACTCTCTTTTCTTGAAACAGGGTCTCCCCCGGCTGGCCTGGACTCACTAAGTAGACCAGGCTGGTCTCTAACTCAGATATCCACCTGCCTTTGTCTTCCAAGGGCTGATTATAGGTGTGCATCACCATGCCTGGCAAGAATACTTCAAAAACTTCAATTTTAAGGGTTGGGGCTGTAGCTCCGTGGTAGAGGGCTCTGTCTCACATTCACAGTATCGTCAGATCAATCCTCAACATTATTCCCTGCCCCCCCATAACAAAATACCTTCAATTTCAGCCAGACATGGCTGCCAAGGCTCAAAATCCCCTGCAATAGGGAGGCTAGGGCAGGAGAACTGTCCCAAGTTCAAGGCCAGCCTAAATTAGAAACTGTCTCAAAACAACCCTTCAATTTTGGCCCTTCTGGATGTTTCCACCACCTAGGTTATGCTTGCTCAGGTGCTGGGGCCTGCTGGCATGACTTCTGCCACATCTGACAACATTCTGATCTTTGCTGCAAGTGTACCAAGTTGACACAAACCACGCTTTGTCTGAAAGGACCAACTTGGACCTCAGGACACCACACTTAGACAGCTTTGCTTCTCATCAGCACTGCTCCATACTTTCCAATTTTCATTTCCAAGTATGTGAAGAACAGGCTGTGGACTGGATGCAAACAGAGCATCACCTAACTGGACTTAATTCTGTTGTCTTCAAATATTTAAAAATACACCAATAGGCACCAGTTAAATCACAAAATTGATCTTAGTGCATTATTTATAGTAACATTTCAAACCTTAGCCTTAAAAGTCTCACGCCACAGTAAAAGGAACTCCTACCTTTTCTCTGCTGCCGCCACGTTTATCGAATCCATGACGGCTTTCACAGTGTCTAGTATCTGCTTAGCTCTGATAGTGTGCTGTTCGAACTTTGTTTTCACTGCTGACTGCGAGATACACTCCTGCGAGGGCCAAGCCACAACACATTACTGTAATTCCACCCCAACAATTTGAGGAATTCAAACACAAAAACTTGCTGATTATAACTTAAACCAAAACCAAAAAAACAGGAAAAAAAAAAAAACATGCATGATGAAACAGAACTTAAATTACAAAGGTTAAACAAATTAAAGAACTCAAACGTAAAAAAGGCTATAACAGCAAGTTTATATTTTTGTGTATTCTCACACAGTAATGTGTAATGGGTTGGCTATATAACAAAAAACAAATGGCACAATTTCAGTGTTGAGAAAGTTTCCTGTCAGAATTGCCTATTTGAATTTTAGTCCATTTATCTTGTTTTAACCATACTTCCAATATATACCCAAGTAAAGTTCCAGTTGTTAGAATCTTATTTTTGGTTTAAATTCTTACATCTGGATGGATTATAGTGATATTGCTAAGGCTACTGGAGAGGTTTTCTATGGATTCATATGTGAGCAATTAAACTTTTCAACAATAAGGAAATGCTTTAAATCACATATAGAAAACTCCTGCAGTATTTCAACCTCACTGGTCTGCAGTGTAGCTCACACAGGCCTGAATGACATCCACGTCATCTGTTCCTCCTACAAGCTAACTAGCCCACAAACCAAATCAGTGTTTCCTAACAAGTATGTCCTTCCTTCTCTTGTTTTTAGTTTTCTTCTTTAAAGAAGACTTTTTTATGTGTACTTGTGTGTTTGTGGAGTGTCAGAGGAGAGTTATCAGATGCCCTGGAGGTGGAGTTACAGGTGGTCATGAAGCCCTGATCTGAGTGCTTCAATTCCACTGGCAGGCATGGGCCACCACACCCAGCAGCTTCAGGGTTTGGTTTTGGATTTTTGGGACAAGGTCTCACTAAGTAGCATTGGCTGGCCTGGAACTGTTTTTTTAATTAGAAGAGATTACATCAGAAAGTACCAAGGTTAGTTTGTTTCAACTTTTAACACATACAACATATTTGTTACATATGTATGCATTTTTACTGATTTATCATAAAAAGATTGCAAAATTGTTACAACTGGCCTGTTTCATTGTTATTTCAGAGAAAGTCAAATTCCACACTGACATAACCTTTGAAAACTGAGTGTGTTTACCAAAAAAACTGTGGTCTTTGAACAACCCTAGAAACTGCTGGCTCACAACATAGCATACCAGGATATAAACCTGCCTATAGGAAATTCGTTTAATGGTCGTTTTTTTATCTAGGTCATTTTTACTGAGCAGTTCTCCAGTGCTGCAAGGCCTCCATCTTTCTGATCACTTTTACATACTCAGCAAATACAGACTGTGCTAACTACCTCCGGGTTTGTTCCTGTCTCCCGGGGTAGCTCTCATGTTCTGCAAAGAGGCGTCCACTCAGGTGCCTGTTTGCTCCCTGAACTCATCGGCATGCTGCACATTCCCTGAATTGACTCTAAAAATTATCTGTGCACCTCACTCAGAAAGCCTGTAACGGGCTGTGTAGCTCCCTCCAGTATTTTGTTCAAGGTCTAGATGACAGCAATTCCCTCGTGCAGGCAGAGGGCACTTGGTGGCAGTTCACTCATCAGCTCAGAGTCTCCTCCAGAGTTCATGACCGTCACGAGTTCGCGACAGCAAGCTAGCCAGCCATTCCTGTTCTGAACGTTCTGGGATGCTTCCTTTAGTCCCCCAACAGCTGCTCAACTGTATGCATTTGAATTACAAGCTACTGGTTTCTTAATGACCAAAACACAGTTCTGATTTTATTCTAAACAATTGCCTCACAAATATGCCAAATTCACCTCCACAAAATTTTAACAAAAGCATAAAAATTTTAAAAGGACAAAGGTTAAAAGAAATGCTATGTTCCTCGATGAAGCAGATCTAGGTGTCAGCAATGAAGACCCAAGTGCACAGGTCACAGCACAGTGTGAGAGCTAGACTAGACGGCGTGAGGTCAGCGTTAGAGTTAGACAGCATGAGGTCAGCATTAGAGCTAGACTAGACGGCGTGAGGTCAGCATTAGAGCTAGATTAGACAGCGTGAGGACAGCATTAGACAGCATGAGGTCAGCACTAGAGCTAGACTAGACGGTGTGAGGTCAGCATTAGAGCTAGACTACATGGCGAGAGGACAGAGATCTCCAAGACTATTAGGCAGAGGGGTCACTGATTCAAGCTCAGGGGAGGGACATGAAGAGAAGGAAACCCTCTAACTGAGAAGGCCCCACAGGCACTCCCAGTCACCTAAGTGCAGAAGCCGCGGACTCCTCAGCCACCATCAACTACTGAACCTGCACGAGCAGTGCACATGAGCACCAGTCCGCTACTGACTTAGGAACTCTTAACTTTCCGACAGACTGAAAATACTGCCCCAAACCAAATTAAAGGCATCTTGTTGGAATATCCTACACTACTTTCAAACTTAGCAACTAAGAACCAAAATGACAGTCACACCCCAACTAAGACAGTTTTCTGAGTCCCTAGTAACATCTAAAGAAGTCAGTCAAATAATTATTCATGCAGTTACACAAATACCCAACAGCCTGCTATTCCAGGATGTTTTAAACTGAAAGTGTGAGAGAGAACACCGAATTACCTCTCACCCAGATGTACCACACAGTTACATTTTTTATACATACATACATACATACATGTATGCATGCACAGGATGCTGGTTTGTTTGAAGATATAGGGTCTCATTAAGCTACACAGAATGGCCCTGAATTCCTAGGCTCAAAGGATCCTTCTGCCTCAAGCTCCCAAGTGCTCAAACTACAGGTACACTCCTGGCTTCATACGTGTATACTAAAGGTCAATGCAGGCACTAGGATCGCACTACCCAATGCTGGCCCAGTGTCACAACTGAAGCCCCATCTGGAGAATCACTCAGACCCAGGAGTTCACAACCAGCCTGGCCAACACAGTGAGAACCTAACTCAAAATCAACACCCAAACACACCAACATCTGTCTTCTAAAAAAGGGGACACTTCCCTACCCCACCATGAAACAATTACACTCACAATATTTTCCACTAGGACTATGCAACTAACACAGGCCACAGCCATATCCAGATTTACCAGCACCCCCTCACTTACCAAACCTAGGCAATGAATCTGAATGTCCAGCTTGTCTTGGTAGTAGGCCTGTCTAAACCCAGGTTTAAAAAGTTAAAAAGTTGGGGCTGGAGAGATGGCTCAGCATTCAAGAGCACTAGCTGCTCTTGCAGAGGACCTGGGTTCAGTTCCCAGCACCCACACGGCAGCTACAGACTGTCCTTAACTCCAGTTCCAGGGGAATCTGAAGCCCTCTTCTGACCTCTGGGGTACTGCATGACACGGGCGCACACATACATGCAGGCAATACACTCATACACATTAGAAAAAATAATAAAATATTAAAAGAAAAAAAAAGTTAGAAAGTGCCAGGCTGGAGAGATGGCTCCTCGGATAAGAGCACTGACTGCTCTTCCAGAGGACCTGGGTTCAGTTCCCAGCACCCACATGGCAGCTAACAACCTAACAACCATCAGTTAGTTATTCCAATTCCAGGAGCTCCAACACCCTCTTCTGACCTCTGTGGGCACTGCACAACATGGGTGCACTTACATACATGCAGGCAATACACTCACACACATAACAATAATAAAATTAAAAAACCAAAATGTTTTTAAAAAATTTAAAACAAAAAAGCTAACAAGGAACTTAATGACAATCCTCCCAAAATTATAATTACATTCATTCAATGGCAAATCCAACCAAGATGTGTGTGAATATAGGGTACAGAATTTAAACAAAACAGAAACATAAATTTATGCTACTAAACTTTAAACTGTGAGAAATACACCAATTTCTAGAAAATCATATATTACCAAAACTGATTGAAAAAGAAACAAATTTCAGGACTGGAGAGATGGTTCAGTGATTAAGAACACCTACTGCTCTTGCAAAGGACCTGAGCTCAGTTCCCAGCACCCACATCAGGTGTCTTACAAATGCCCATTAACTCCAGCTCCAGGGCATCTCTTCTGGCCTCTGTGGGAACCTGCACTCACACCTCCCCACGGCCCCACACACAGTTAAAATGAGAAGATAAAATTTCAGGGTTTCAGAGATGCTCAGTGGTTAGGAGCCCTTGCTGCTCTTGCAAAGGACCCATGTCTGGTTCCCAGCACCCACATGTCAGCTCATAACCATCTGTCACTGCAGTTATAGGGGATCCGACACTCTCTTCCGGCCTCCATGGTCTTTGGGAAGTATGTGGTACACTTACATACATATAGTATAAACACTCATACACACAAAATAAAAATAAATTGTCTCTAAGGCTGGAGAGGTGGCTCGGCAGTTAAGAGCACTGGCTGCTCTTGCAAAGGACCCAGGTTCAATTCCCAACATCCACACAGTGGTTAACAACCGTCTGTAACTCCAGTTCCAGAGGATGCAACGCCCTCTTCTGACCTCTGCAGGTATCGCGTGACACAAGTGCACTCACAACACATGCAGACAATACATTCATACACATAAAATAAAAGTAATAAGGAGCTAGAGAGATGGCTCAGCAGTTAAGAACACTGGTTGTTCTTGCAGAAGACCTGGGTTCATATCCCAACACCCCCATGGAAGCTAATAACTGTCTGTAACTACAGTTCCAGGGGATCCCACAGCCTCTTCTGTCCGCCGCAGGCACTGCATGACACGGGTACACTTACCTACATGCAGGCAATACACACACACACACATAAAAGAATAATAATAAATAAATAATATTTTTTGAGCTGGGCGTGGTGGCGCACGCCTTTAATCCCAGCACTTGGAAGGCAGAGGCAGGTTTACATTCCCAAATAAACTTCTACAATTTTTGAAAATGAATTTCCAAGTTTCTCCTGAAAACATTTTAGGTCCAGGCATGGTGGCATGTGCCAGTAACTCTAGCACTTGGGAGGGTATGGGAAAAGGACTATGCATTGGAGGTCAGCTTAGGCTACACAGAAAAGGTTCCAGGACAGCCTAGGCCTCACAGCAAGAGTCCCAGGGCAGCCTGAGATACACAGCAAGACCTGTTCTCAAAACACAACAGCACCAATGAAAACCACGCCAATGAGATGACAACAGGTATAAGTGCTTGCCACGTATACCTGAGTTCAATCCCCTGAACCCACAGTTCGTGGAAAGAAGAGACTCTAGAAAGTTCTCCTCTGACCTGACATGTACACCTGCATATATACTCACACCCACACACCCACACCACACACACTAAGTAATAATCATTTTAATTTTAAAAAGTTGGGCCCTTGGGGCACCAGGCTTGGTGGCGCACACCTTTAATCCCAGCACTCAGGAGGCAGAGGCAGGTGGATCTCTGTGAGTTCCAGGCTAGCCTGGTCCACATAGTGAGTTCCAGGCCAGCTGGGGCTACAGGGAGACCCTGTCTCAAAAAGACCAAAAAGTAAAAAATAAAAAATAAAAACTTAGGCCCTTCGATGTAATTCAACGACAGAGGCCTTGCCTAATACGGCAAGCCCCAAGGTTTGATCTGTGTCTGTGTAGGCCAACTCTAGCCCAACTGGAACAGCATGTCTGGGAAGGCCAGGAGCCTGTCGTTCTCCAGAGCACCCTCTGGGACCTCCAGGCTGGGAACGGGGCTCTCCAGCACATGCTCTATCTGCCCATCTCTTCTAGCAAACATTCTAGGAAGCAAACAGTATGCCAAGGTCAGAAGGGTGCAGGCGTGCAGCAGAAGGGAGAAGTGGTCAGAGACAGCGATGGCAAACAGCCACAAACAAGCAGACATGTACACAGAAAGTCAGTAAGTATGAAAGGGAACGGATGGGACAGGTCTGCCGTCCACGTATCTCTAAGCAGAAAAAGTGAGGTGTAAGACAAGTGGGCTGTGGATTTTCTTGGGAAGAGACAGCGGTCTGGAGCAACTGGAGTTCCTGTGTCCCATGGCTTGACTTGAGCAGAGACCTGCCCCTGTCTCAGGATCCGTGTCCCAGGACCCCTGACCCAGGCAGCTGATAGTGGCCTTTTAAAATACTCTATCTTCATCTGTCTAACAGTCTTCTTTCCTCTCAGAAAATTAAAGGTGAGGGACTGCTTTCTTTTTTTAGATAGAGTCTCACCTGGCAGCTGAAACTGTGTAGACCAGGCCAGCCTTGATCTTATAGAGATCCACCTGCCTCTGCCTCCCAAGCGCTGGATTTAAAAGCATGCACCAGTAAGGGACTAACAAAAAAATTTTTACTTTAAAAACCTCAGCCTGAGGTCAGGTGTGGTGGCGTAGCCTTTAATTTCAGCACTTGGGAGGCAGAGGCTGGCGGATCTCTGTGAGTTCAAGGCCAGCCTGGTCTACAGAGAGACCCTGTCTCAAAAAATAGCAAAAAGAAAAAAACTTGAACATGGTGTATTCAACATGTGTCCTCTACTGAGGCCACTGCTCTGTACAGGGAGTGATTACAGATGGACATGTGCTAGTTCTCAAGTCTCCATTCATCCGGGTGGGAAGTGGATGGAATTTAAGCAGAAGTGCATAAATAGGGCTGTGTGAGAACTTAGAGAGTTGACCTCTAGAACTTCCAGTCAAATGTAGGAGAAGCTCTAAGATTAGAAAACCCTCAAATGCTCACTCCCCGGGGTGAAGGCTCTCCCTCCTCATGCCGTGCACATCACTTACGCAGCACAGCGCTTTCCTACCAGTTCCCTACTACTGCCATATTCATTCATGGTTCAGGTCTGGAACAAGATGAGACCTAGCAGGCGGCAGTCCAGCTGAAGAATGCGAGACGGTCGTGTCACGCATTCACCGCGCCAGCTCGCAATAGGAAGAGCTGGCACTAGGGGAAAGAGGACGGCCCTCACTTGGTGGCACCATTTGTTCCAACAGCAGTGAGTGTTCACACATGCTCCACAGTACCGAACGCAGGCATCACTGACTGCAACACAAGAACTAGCCAGCTCCCCTGTGACAGCTGAGCCCCACGGGGGTGCACTCCACAGGCTTCGTTTCTTCAGACCTTCCTCGGTTTCACACTCTGTCCGTGCACTTAATAACAGCAGAGGTTATTGACAAAGAAAGGGAAGACTCCACTGCTCTCCAACCAGCACAGGATTTAGCCAAGAGGCACAGAATTCCTACCTCAAAAGTTTGCTCAAAATTCTGAAACTCCTGTAGCCGTGCCTGAAATCCTTCAGCAAGTGCCCCACCTGTAACACACACAGGCAAAGGTTGATTTGTTTTTGTTGTTTTTGTTTTTTTTGAGATGAGGTCCCCCCATGCAGCCCATGCTACCTCCAAAGTTCTGAGATCACTGTCCTTTGCTTAGGCAAAGATTTTTAATATTTTATTTATTATTTTTATGTGTGTGTGTGTATTGCCTGCATGTAGGTAAGTGCACCCGTGTCATGCAATGCCCGAGGAGGGGAGAAGAGGCCGTTGGATCCCCTGGAACTAGAGTTACGGACAGTCATTAGCTGCCATGTGGGTGCTGGGATTCAAACCCGGGTCTTCTGCAAGAACAGCCAGTGTTCTTAACTGCTGAACCATCTGTCCAGCCCCTTAGGCAAAGATTTTTAAACTGAGTATAAAGAACTATCCCTTTTACCCTTGACACCTGTGTTCCTAGACCCTGTTAGGACCTGCAGAGTATCAAACTCTATACATAACTATGTTTTTTTGGTGGGGGGGGGGTCATTTTTTGAGACAGGGTCTCCCTGTAGCCTCCTTGCTATGTAGACCAGGTTGGCCTTGAACTCAGATCTGCCTGCCTCTGCCTCCCAAGAGTGCTGAGATTAAAGGCGTGTGCCTAGCATTATTTTCCACAGGGTCTCAAAGGTATGTGCCATGCCTGGTCACCCTTTTCATCACTAAGCATTAACATGCACTGAGGCTGCATCTTTTGAAGTTGGAGGTGTGATGTCAAAACTAGCAGCTATTTGTGTCTTCATAGTTCCTGAGATTTGTTCTTAACACAGAATCACAGCAAACTAAGCAAGCGATTCGTTATTAAGTCAAGCATTTCACCTTTTCACTCAAAGGAAGCACTTTGCAGCCTCCACTTGGCATATCCAAATGGCCAGCATCGGTAACTCTTGTACTTTGGGACATTCTTTTTTTTTTCCTTCCGTCTTTTTCTGTAGCCCCAGCTGTCCTGGAACTCACTATGTAAACCAGGTTGGCCTTGATCTCAGAGATCCGCCTGCCTTCCACCTCCCGAGTGCCGAGATTAAAGCCACGCAACACCACGCCTGGCTATTTTGGGACACTGTTAAGTAAAATAAGGCTCATTCGGCAGGGAATTGCAGTAGCATGCAGCTAATCTGGTACAATGGCCAGATAGTGTTTGGAACACACTGAACAAAAAGATTCCCGTTTCCTGCAGTACTGAGAGCCCACCTTACTACTCCCAACAGTGTGCTAGAACGTCATCCGGTATTTCAGGACCACAGAAAGCCCAGGTTTCTAAAGTCCCACGTAAGTCCGAGATCACTGTGTACAGGAAGGTAAGATCTCTGCCATGCTATCCTGTTCTTTTGGTTTGTTTGGTTTTGTTTGTTTGAAACAAGGACTCCCTCCAGCTCCAGCTGGCCTGGAACTATGTAGACCAGGCTACCCTGGATCTCAAAGAGATCCTCCTGCCTCTGTCCCCTGAGTACTGGGACTAATACTCATCAATACCCAATCCATGCTACTGTTTTTTTTATAAGCTGTACTTAGGTATTAAAAAAGGAAACCTAGACCGGGCATGGTAGCGCATGCCTATAGTCCCAGCACTTGGGAGGCAGAGGCAGGCGGATCTCTGTGAGTTCAAGGACAGCCTGGTCTACATAGTGAGTTCCAGGACAGCTGGAGTTACAAGGAGACCCTATCTCAAAAACAAAAAAGGAAACCTAGCTGGGCGTGGTGGTGCACACCTTTAATTCCAGCACTTAGGAAGCAGAGGCAGGTGGGTATCTGTGAGATCGAGGCCAGCCTGGTCTACATAGTGAGTTCCAGCACTGGCTGCTCTTGTGGAGGACCTGAGGTCAGTTCTCAGCACCTACACGGTGGGTCACAGCCATCTGTGTCCAGTTCCAGGGAACCCAATGCCTCTTCTGAACTCCATGTGCTCACCTGCACACACATGGTATACATACTGACAAGCAGACACATACACCGAGGAATAAATAAATGTTTAAGAGGAACCTGTGGCCACCACATACCACCTTCAGGCATCCCCTGGACCTTCTGCTTCCTGGCGTTCAGAACCTCCTTGGCTGAGACAAAGAAGATGCGATTCCGAGCCTCCACAGGGCTCACGACCTTGAGTTCTTCCACCAGAAAGTGAAGGCACCTTTCCATGTGCTGTCTGCGCACCTGCAACAGTGGGAGAAGCTTTGCAATTGCGCATAATGAAAGCAATGACAGCACCAACCACAGGCCTCCACTGAACCTGCAGCTCTAGTCAGACAGGACAGTAACAGTTCGCACTCAACAGATCCAGAGTGTTGTGATAAATGAAGTTTGATCCTTGACTTCCTGTCAGGAAATCTCTATGATCTTTCTTTTGAACACTTATTTAAAATTCTGATGCAATATCAAATACTATACAAGCATTTTTATAAAACATCACCAAAAATATCATAGCTAATTGCACAGAGAAAGCTTGTCAATTCTGTGCTATATATAAGATATAAGAAATAATATGAGGGCTGGAGGGATGGCTCAGCAATTAAGAGCAGTGGCTGCTCCTGCAGAGGAGCTGGGTTCAGTTCCCAGCACTCACATGGAAGCTAACAGATATGATGCCCTCTTCTGGCCTCCACAGGCATTGCATGACACAGGTGCATTTACACACATACAGGCAAAAGACTCATACACATAAAATACAGTTTTTAAAAAGCATCTATAGCTGGGTGTGGTGGTGCATGCCTTTAATCCCAGCTCTTGGGAGGCAGAGGTAGGTGGATCTCTGTGAGTTCAAGGCCAGCATGGTCTACATAGGGAGTTCCAGGACAGCTGGAGTTCCAGGGAGGCCCTGTCTTAAAAAGACTGAAAAAAAAAAAAGCATGTACAGTAAGATTAGTGGCAGGATGCCAATGCCCAGAACAGAGCAGCATCTTGGGCAGTAAAGCTGTTAGCACCTTTGGCATCGGGAAGCACGTACTACGATAACTAACAACCACAACATAAATGGTGTATTTTTCTTCTTACGGACACAGGAACTGGCACTGGGCTACAGTTCAGCTGGCAGAGTTCTTGCCTAGCCTGAAGGAAAACCCTGGTTCATTCCCCAGCACCATGTAAACTGAGTGTGGTGGTGCAGGCCTGTATCAATCTCAGCACTCTGAGGCTGAACAGAAATTCAGGGAGAATTCAGGCCAGCTTGGACTAGATGGCGATGCAACACTTCACAAATGAAAAGTCAATTAAGCCAAAGAGGAACACTGAACTGTTTGGAGTGGTGTCCACTTCTCCAATCCCCGAGACCCCATCTAGAAGAGTACCAGACACAAAACTTCCTAGTAAGCAACATGGAGCGTAATGAGCGAGCCAGCATGTGTGAGGTCATGGAAGCAGGTCACCTTTTCTAAGTTTGCTATGAGAAACCATACTATTGAAACCAGAAATGCTATGAGGCCAAAGAAATACATTCTACCTACAGACTGATGACACCTCCTGACTGGACTGAAAAAACTTAGATTAGTAAAGCATGGGTCTGTGGCAGCGGCCACCCTAAGTAGGGATCCCAGAGAGAATGAAAAGGGAAAACAGAACGGGGTACAAAGACCTTGCCCTGCCACCCTTTGCTTTGTAGCCACCTTGTCACACCCTCTTCCACAAGGATGGACAAAACCTCCTCTAAACCTTGGAGTCCAAATGAGCTTCCCTAAGTTCTTTGTCTCAAGTATGATTTTGATTTTTTTTTTTTTTTTTGAGACAGGGTCTCCCTGTGCTAGGACTAAAGGTGTGTGTCACCACACCCGGCTCAAGCATGCTTTACATCAAGAAGAAACTAACCAACACATGTATCACATACCAGATTTTAAAAGGTGGGTGAGAACACAGCTCAGTGGGTAGAGGGCTTGCCTAGCATGCAAGAGGCCCTGGTCCAAGCCCCAGAGTGATGTAGACCGGGGTGGTGTGCACACCTGAATCCCAGCACTGAGGAGGTACAGACAAGAAGGATCAGGAGTTAGAGGCCAGCCTGGGCTACAGGAGACCACATCTCAAAAACAAAACAAAGAAACAAAACAGAAGGAGCCAAAGGCTCCTTGAGGGGCTCTGGGTGTCATGAAGGAACTGAATTCTGACAGACGTGTGTTGAATGTGTAAAACTCTGAGCTGGATACTAATGATTCATGGGTGAATTTTTCTGTTATGCACTTTAAACTTCAATAAAAAGTTAAACCTGGGGCTGGAGTGATGGCTCAGAGGTTAAGAGCACAGGCTGATCTTACAGAGAACCCAGGTTAGATTCCCAGCACCCACACGACACCTAACAACAATGTGTAACTCTATTTGGCTTAGTAGTCCAAGGTACCTATCACAAGCCCCTTTTTAGGTTTTCTATGATCATTTTTTCTCTTTCAGTTTTTTTCAGACAGGTTCTCATGTAACCCAGGCTTGCCTTGAACTCACTAAGTAGTCCAGGCTGGCTTTAAATACCTGATCCCTTTTCCCTTGCCTCCCAAGTGCTGGGTTTGGAGTGGATACCTCAACCCTCGGCTACAGTCGAATTCTCTTCAGTCAGAGGACACCTTCCTCCAGTTTGTTCCCTAAGGTACACTGTTTCCTCAGACGAGAGTGTGCACCTGGCTATTCAAAACAAAGGGAAAATGCTCACGTCATCCATGTACTCCGGCTCTGAGGCAGAGGCATCCCAACGGTTATTCAGGATGAAGATATTCGGCTTGGACAGCCGTTCATTCACCTTATGGAAAAAGTGCTTCTCCTGAAAAACATCAAGACAACATTCTGAAAGGCAATTTCTGTTTCCACTTATAACATAAACCTTTTCACTTCCAAGTCTGAGCCACTTCAACTGCAGTGATCAGCATGCAGCACGGAGGACCCAAAGCACCCAAGGGCACTCTGCTATTAGAACCTAAGCACCCAAGGGCTCTGCTCTTCCAGGAAAACAACACATAAGGAGGCCAGGGCTTTTCCAAAATCCGAAATGTTTCATGTTGATCAGTCCCTACAAGCAGGGCCCAGGAGGGACTGCTGTGCAATAATCCAAGGTGAACAAGTCACATGCCTTTAAGAGCTAGCCAAGTAAAGTAATAAGGCATGACCCTTGCATAAACCACAGCAAGGAACAAAAATCCTCCATAAATCACTCCTTGGCCTTTTGGTTAAGACCAAGGAAAGAATGTCACATCCATACTGCAAGCAAGCACCATGTCTGTTCAGAGCAGGAGACGTCACACTGTTGAAGTGAGGAAAAGGTCCACAGAGAAGTAAGTGCTACTTCAGGGATGTCTGAAGATGAAAACTCCTAAGTGGACAGACCGCAGGTAAAGACCAGCACCAGCAGGATTGGGCTGCCGCTCAGACACGGCGCTTGTTTAGCATGCAGTCCTGGGTTTGATGCCCACCTCAAAGTGAGAAAAACAGGACTAGCAGGAGCAGAAGTTTCAGATCAGAATGCAGACCACAAGCTCGCCCACCCACCCAGTCATGGGGAACATAATACAGTCCAAACACTTAAACAGCTTCTCACATTACCAGGTTACCAGTGATTGTCAGTGTTATAAGAGAAGCCTGTGTCTGTGATAGTCACAACACAGTGACAAGGCAGGTCTCACTGGTGACACCTCAGTTACAGAGGAGTTCAGTCATACACACTTTTGATGAGTAGCAATTTTTAAAATATTTTAGTTATTATTTTTATTTTATGTGTATCAGTGTATCGCCTGCATGTGTGTAAGTGCACGTGTCGTGCAATGCCTGAGGTCAGAAGAGGGCATCAGATCCCCTGGAACTTGAGTTACAGACGGTTGTTAGCTGCTATGTGGGTGTTGGGAATCGAATCTGGGTCCTCACAGCAAGAGCAGTCAGTGTTCTTAACCACTGAGTCATCTCTCCAGCCCCAAATAACAATTTTAAAAAGCATACTAGATATCTAAACTCTGGAAAGTTTATTTGGACTGAATCTTCCAGCTTAAGAGCACATGAAAATAAAGTGGAGTCCATAGCACCTTCGGGAGGACTGGAAAAGGAAGAAAACCCCAAGAGAAAAGGCTTTGCCTGACACGCTGGGGGGCAGAAGGGGGAATGAGTCAGACTTTTTTTTTTTTTTGGTCTTTTTGAGACAGGGTCTCCCTGTAGCCAGCTGGCCTGGAACTCACTATGTAAACCAGGCTGGCCTTGAACTCAGAGATCTGCCTGCCTCTGCCTCCCGAGTGCTGGGATTAAAGGCGTGCACCACCACGCCTGGCCTGATTCAGACTTTTTATCAGAGACACATAAGCAAACACCTAACCTGTTGGTATTCATTCCCTCTGAGGCAAACACACACCCAGCGCAAATGTCAGCATTACACAGGCATCACCTTAAGTCCAGGAAGACGCAGTGGCTGGACAACACTTCAGGAGACCAGGAACAGCCCTTGGTCCTTGGAAGCATAGGCCTCCACTCACTCCCTCGGTCCCATCACTGCTCAGAGGTAAAGTGGACACCACTCAATCACAGTCACACAACTGAATCCTACCGTGTTCATCAGTGTTGACTCTGAGTTTGCAACCAAAACAAAGACATCAGCATCCAGACAGAACTTATCGATCCAGCTGTCCAGCTCTGTGGTGACATCTGTACCAGGGCTATGAGGAGTGAAACAGGATTAGAAGACTTTTGTTAAACTATGGTTAGAGATATTTTATTAAACTTCTGTATTATTTATAGAGACCCTGCGCCAACATCTAAGTGTTATTAGCAAAAACAATGAGTCTTTCTGCAAGAAATAGTAATTTTAAAATGAAATGGAGACCTTTTTTAAAGGTTAAAAATTCAATTTTATGTCCTACAGGGTTTATACTGAGCTCAATATTATATAACTGTATTAATTCAACTGTGAACCTAAAAATTTTATAGCCACTTTTGAAAGAGATGTATCTTAGCTCTGGAAATTGTTATGGAGTATGTTAAAGCTGTAATGAAATGCTTCTTCTAAAAAAAAAAGTCTGAAAGAGCAGGGCAGGCAGATCTCTGTGAGACTGAGCAAGTTCAGGTCAGCTGGAGATACAGGGAACTCTTGTCTTTAAAAAACAAAAGAAATAGGCTGGGTGTGATGGTGCATGCCTTTGATCCCAGTACACAAGAGGCAGAGGCAGGTGGACCTCTGTGAGTTCAAGGCCAGCCTGATCTACAAAGTGAGTTGTAGGTCAGCTGGGGCTACAGGGAGACCTTGTCTCTAAAAGACAGAAAAAAAAAAAAAAACCAAAACAAGAAACAAACAAGGAGGAAGGAGGAGAGCTGAGCACTGATGCCCTCCTTCTCACTCAGCTGCCTTGGCCAGAGCTGCTCTTTCTGCAGCTTCTCCCCTACTGTGATGAACCATATCCTCAATCCAGGAGCCAAAATAAGCCCTTCCTTCCTCAGACTGCTTGTCAGATATTTGGTCACAGCAACGTGATAAGCAGCATCATTCCAGTGTAAACCAATTACCAAGAAAACACAATCCACATGAAAATTTACCTGTCTACCAAAACCAGGTCATCTCTCAAGAGGGCGCATTTTGCTTTGGGCCAAAACACATGCACCAGACAGCCAGCTTTCAAGTCCTTGTCCATGTGGAGGGCGTGTGCCAGCTGATTAACTGTCTGCAGGGAGTGAGAGAGAAGCTCAATGAAAACCAGAAATACTACTATAATTTGGCACTTTTTTTTTTCAAGACAAGGAGCCCAGGCTGGCCTTAGACTCAAATACATGTCTGTCTCTCCAGTGCTGGGATTTAGAGGTATGCACCACCGAGCCTAACTTTACAGTGTCCATCTTTGCAAAATGGGAAGGTAGAACTTGAAGAGTTTGAAATAAAACTACCTGAACAATTTGGAGAAATCTGAATTTTAAAAAAATCAACTAGAAAGAAAAAAAGGGTCCCTTGAAAGACTTTACTTATAGCCTACAAAACATTCAGCGAGTGGAGCTCTAGCAGTGGAATCCCATGTCCTCCCCATGCTGATGCCCCTTCGTATAAGTTGTGGAGTCTCTGTTCTTTTTGCAAGTTTGTATTTTCTGATTCTTCTTAAACAAAGGTGCACTGCTTGGACACAATGGGGCATCATTACTAGAAGAGATGTTACTGAAGTTGGTCCAAACGTCCTACTGGAATAAAGAAGGCAATACGGGAAGTAAAAACAAAGTTGCCCTTTGTTTTCCTTCAAGACAAGACCTCATTCTAGCCCAGGCTGGCCTCAAACTCATGGCTGTCCTCCTGCCTCAGCCTCCTGAGCTATGATTACAGGCTTCAGGCACCAGGCCCAGTGCTAAATCTGTCAAAAAAGATATTTTTCACAAGCAATTGTTCACAAAACCTTCCTGAAACCTCTGATACTTGAATTCTGAACCCATTTCTATTTCTTAAGGTACTTCTAAGGTATGTAAACTCACGAAACTAATGTATATATTGAATGTAACTCACATATGCATTAAATATACAGCACTGAATGTCTGAAACAAAATTACTGAGTTCAGGACACCAGTACACAGCACTATAGTTCTCGGCAGGGGAAACATCAATTTAAGGGCTGGGATGGGGCTCATTTGGCACAGCGCTTGCCTGGCATACATGAAGCCCTGGGCGCCATCCCAAGGTCTCTATGAACAGAATTTGTTGGCTTGTGCCTGGAATCTGAGCACTCAGGACATATAAGCAGAAGTTCAAGGTCATCCTTGGCACACAGCAAGTTTAAGGTCATTAAAGCCAGCCTGACCTATACTAATCCTTTAATTAAAAAAAAAAAAGGTTGAGAAACATCTACTTTCAAATATATTCGAAAGTCTTGATTGGAGGTGAAGTACATTTCCAGTGACAATGTTAGGTAGGTTTTAGTATTTTCTAAAATATAGCCTGCTTTAATAAGCATTTTGATAGATTTGTAAGCCTGTACACCAATCTTGGTAGAAAATTTAAAGAATTAAGATAATAGGGGCTGAAATAGGGCTCAGAGAACTCCCGGTAATACAGGACTCCTGAGGTGGGGCTCTGAAAACCCCCCGTAACACAGGACCCCCAGGTTTGTTCCCCAGCACCACAATCAAAGAAAAAAATTAAGAGAATAAAAGCACCCAACAGACTTGTGGTAAGGTTAAGTTAATTTTGTTTTTGTTTGGCTTTTTCAGACAAGGTCTCCCTGTGTAGCCCTGGGTGGCCTGGAACTCCCTCTATGCAGCCCAGGCTGACCTGGAATTCAGAGATCTGTTTGCCTGACTCCCAAGTGGCAGGATTAAAGGTATGTGCCACCACGCTCAGTCTTTTTGTTAGGTCTGAGTTATTTACATGCTAGAGTTTGCAAGAGGGCACGTAATCAATGAGATTTTAGTCATTAGGGTTTGTGTTTCTTTCCTAAAGACTCAAGTTCTATTATCCTAATAGAGGCCACTACTTGGTCATTTCACTTTGGAATGGGAGGAGGAAGAATAAGAGCAGTAAAGAAAGAAAACCAGAGGACGGAGGATGGGAAACAGGACATCACATGCATAGAACACCGCACAGCATTTTTCTTCAGTAATTTTAATTCTGATTTGGCAAAAAGTCTTCATGCCTTTAATCTTGTGTGTCAAAAGGGTACTTTCAGAAACATCTGTTTCTCTCTAATAACTAATCTGAAGGGTATGCACCATCCAACAAGATGTAACAGATAGTTAGCTAATAGAGGCCACACAGAGCTCATGACCTGGACTCCTGACCTCATCTACAGCTTAGCAAAGCTGGAAGTGGTAGGGCGCTGGGGATGTAGCTCCACAGCAGAGCACACACAGCGCCCAGCACATGCTGCGGCACAGGACTATCCTCCAACTGGCAAGCTATGGACAGGCACCTTCTTCCCAAGCTGGGGAAGCGGCTGCACCTGTTTACCTAGCATCATCGCAGACTTGACTGTTGCTGCTCTGCAAGAAAGGAGGGGCAGGGAGTCAGTCACACCTCCAACCAGCCAGTCAGCCCTAGCTGCTGAGAGGGCGGGACTAAGGTTGTACAAACAGGTAAGGAGAGTCAGTCACACCTCCCAACCAGCCAGTCAGCCCTAGCTGCTGAGAGGGAGGGACTAAGGGTGTATAAACAGGTTAGGAGAGTCTCATCATTTTGTACAGCAGCTGGGAAGTCACAATCCCTGCCTGGATGAGGACGGTCCAGTGCGGCCTTAGGAGTGGAGCACCCATATTCCTGTAAGTGACCCCTCACCCACTGCTCTGTAAGTAAGTCCAATAAACTCACTGGTTTTCCAAACTGTAGTATGGTGAAATCTTACCTCGCTTTATCGTAGGGACCAAGGGAGGTAGGTGGCCGGATGTTGTTCGAACCTCCCGGAAGGAATTTTAGCACCAGACATGGGTGCTTGTGCACATGTGTGTAAACACACCACATACACATACACACACACACACAGAGGTATGGATCTTTAATCCTGAACTTCTATATTTGAGGGTAAGGACTTGCTACTTACGGTGGCTGAGACTGGGTGTGGAGGCACATACTTGAAATCCCAGCCTTAAGAAGACTGGAACAGGAGGCTCTAAAATTTAAGGTCAACCTGGACTACACAGTAAGATCCTATCTCAAAAAAGGGGACAGGGATGGGGGAGATGGTTCAGTCTGTGAAGTGCTCGCTATGCACTGAGGACCCGACTTCAGATTCCCAGCCCCATGTAGAAGCTGGGCTGGGCATGGCAGCACACGCCTGTAATTACAGTGCTGGGAAGGTGAGACAGGAGGATCGTGGGGCTCGCTGGCCCAGTCAGTCTAGCTGAATTGGTGAGTTTGAGGTTCAGTGAAAGACCCTAATCTCAAAAAATAAAGTGGAGAGCAGTTGAGAAGATGCCAGACACCAACCTCTGGCCTCCAGAGGCACATACCACTTGTACACCCACATACAAAGGCTGGACAGGAGCATCTCACCTGCAGAGCACTGTCTAGTGAGTCTGAGGGTCCTAGGCCCCAGGCTCAGAGGAAACAAGATGCTACAGGAGACAACACCTGCCATATCCTTTCAGTCCAGAGCTGACATTTTCTTCTGTATTTTGTTCTTTTGTTGGCTGAAGCAGCCCAATAACACTGAACTAAACACTCATGAGCTGGGCAGCGTGATGGCTCGGTGGGTAAGTATAATTGCCACTAGGCCCGAGTTCAGTCTCTGCAACCCGCATGGTAGAAGGAATGTCCACCCTGGCAAGTTGTCCTCTGACCTTCATATGGGCACCAATGCACACACACCCAATAAATAAATGAATGAATGTAATATAAAACTATAAAAATAAATTGGTGAAAAACCAGGGCTGTAGCTCAAGCATTAGTCCCTAGACACCACATGCAAGAGCCTGGCTCACACCTAAAACCTTAAGGAAAAGTAGGGAGTTCTGTGGGGTGTGGAGCCCACATCTTTAATCCCAGCAACTTGGAAGGCAAAGACAGGCAGATCTCATGTGAGTTTAAGGCTAACCTAGTCTACATGGTGACTTCCAGGTCAGGCAGGACTACAAAGTGATCGCCAGCCCACCACTCCCCAACCTCCCAACCCCCACCAAAAAAAAAAAAAAACACATGGCCATTGGCTCTTGTCTCATAAATCTACATTACTCATGAATGCTGCTTTGTAACTTTTCGTAAGGGAAAATTGTTTCTAAAAAGAATCATATTAAAAATTGATTCCAGGTCCATCTTTTACAAAGCTTAAAAAAGGATAAACCTGAGATTAAACAGCAACAACAAATTCCAATAATCTTCATTAAACACTTTTGAAACCCTCTTAATTCCTTCCTTATTGGGAGGCAGAGGCAGGTGGATCTCTGTGAGTTCAAGGCCAGCCTGGTCTACATAGTGAGTTCCAGGACAGCTGGGGCTACAGGGAGACCCTGTCTCAAAAAGACCAAAAAATAAATAAATAAATAAATAAATAAATAAATACAAATAAAAAATAAATTCCTTCCTTATTGAAAGTTAAGGGCAGGGCTGTGGCTGCCATCCAGTGGCGGCAGCTCTCGCACAAACAAGGCCCTGGGATCCATGTGCAACACACAGAGAACGCTAAGGACAGATGTCCTTCTGACAACCTGGTTCTAAAGGAAAAACCTGAAGGACTCCAACCCAGTGACGGTTCTGCAAGTCGTCAACGTGAATACCTGTCCCCCTTCCCTACCCTGGAGACTGCTTCCCTGGGAGTGTACCTTCACACTCCTCCTCTCATCCGACCCCTCCGTCATCAGATAGGCTTTATCCCCATCAGTTCCCTCCACACTCAGGAAGCAGTTGGTGGTGTGGCCAATCCCACTCGGGAGAACTTTGTCCCACAGCATCGCGTTGATCACAGAGCTCTTGCCACTACTTGTCCTGAAACACGAAACAAAGTAAAAACTGTGTTCTGTGCTGGCGCTCAAGCAAACACTTCCACAGGTCCCATTTCACAGACTTCATTTTTATAAAAAAGATGGACAGCTTAAAGCAGTATATGGTACCCGCTCCACACACCTGTAATCCCAGCACTTGGGAGATGGAGGCAGCAGCCATCAGGAGCTTAAGCCAGCCTCAGCTACATAAGGCCCTGTCTCAGAACAAAATAAACATAAACAGGCAGAAAGGCAGATAGACAAGCCTCCTTAAATACTAGCAATGCACACTTAGAAAAAAGAACAACAGAAAATAAATCCCGCCTTTCCCACAACACTATCCTTAGTCTTTGTTTCTTGCTTCCTGTGATAATTTGAAATCACCAAAGGTCTGTGGTGCTTCTCCTACGACAAGACACGGTCTAACCTTCAAACTGGGCTGCTCTGTGGTGGCTTCACAGCCACACGAGGTGGATTCTGAGGCACGATAAGGGGTCGTGACCGCTCTGCCCCGCTTGCTGGGTCACCATACACTTGGGAGTCTTCACCATGGAAGAAGTCACCCACGATGACTGCTGCGTCTCAAGAAGCCAACTTACCGAGAGGTCTAGGAAGTGCTCCACTGAGCCCCCAAGTCACCCCAGCCCAGGCACCAGGCATGTGAGTGAAGATTCAGATGGCTCCAACCCTCAGATGCTGAGCCATCCCAACCTTCACGAGGTCCTACACCACAGAACAGAGACAGGACGCCCTACTGTGCCCTCAGGATCAGTGTGCATCATAAAAAGAGTGTTTTTAATTTAGGTTTGAGGTGACTTCTTGTGCAAACACAGTAAACCAGCACAGCCCTGAAACCCAAGGAACACCTCCTCCCCGTCAGGGCTTTGTCTTCTAATCAATCCACTCAAACCTCAGAAGCTGTCTGGAGCATCTGCTTCCCTGGCAAACAGCATTCGACCTCAAGGGGACGCAATCATCTCTCTTGATGTCACCCTTCTATAGGATGATGTTAAGAGTCATACCTTGGGGCTGGGGATATGGCTCAGTGGTTAAGAGAATTGACTGCTCTTGCAGAGGACCCAGGTTCGATTCCCAGCACCCATATGGTGGCTACAAACTGTCCTTAACTCCAGTTCCAGGGGAATCCAAAGCCCTCTTCTGACCTCTGTGGCATTGCATGACACAGGTACACTCACACACATGCAGGCAATACACTCATACACATTTTAAAAAAAAAAGAGTCATACCTTTATTTTACGGAAACCAGTCCCAACTTCCCCCAGAAGAGGCAGGGAATGGTAACTACTTATCAGAAACCTTTTCTTGTCTTTTTTTATTGCAGCTGTGCTGTAATTTAGGACACCTACAACCACCCTTAGGGTTAATCCTCAGGCACTGCCACAGCCTTGGGGCCCTTATCCTCAAGGCAACTTTGGGTCTCATCTGTCATCAGAATTGGGGGCCCACCGACAGTGTAGAGTCCTCAGGTTACTGGAACCCACAGAAGGCTCCTAAGCACAGGCAGTGTGCCCATCTGCTTAAGGGTCTTTATAATGCATCTTTCCCACCTACCAGCCCACCCTCCTTCCTGAGGGCTACAAAGTTCCTACTCTCAAGGCTTGGTGACTGCCCCACCCTAAAAATGTATGAGGGCTGGCCTAACCCAGCTCATTAGCATACAGGCACTGGGCTCAAAGGGCCCACTGTAAGTAAGAAAAGCTATTCCCATCATTCAGGAAAATTGACAAGACGAATGTGAACACAAAATCTATTTCTGTCCCAGCAGCCCAGTTCTTCCTAGTTTTCCTGGACCAGCCTGTGCCCCCATCTAGTCACTGTTCCTGTGAATTATGTTATGAGCTCTCCCATCTCAACCATGACCTAAGCCAAAGATTCCTAAACTTCCTAGGGTGGGCCTTGGTTATGATGCAACCTGGCAGCTGGGAAAACTACACCTGAACACCTATCAAGGGCTGAGAGAACTCTTATTCCAAGGCCTAACAAGCACCAAGCTACACATCACATCACAAAACACAAACACCTGCCCACAATCCTTCCAATGGCACACAACCAGTCAAGCCATTCTACTCTTCCTTGCTAATGAAGCACCAAGCTTGCCAAACCAGTCTCCCCACCTCTCACCAACCTCCCCTGCCCAGAAGTTGGGGAGCAGGGAAGCGTAACCCACTGCACACCAGGCAAAGGCGGGGCGTGGGCAGAGCCAGGAAAGTTCCTGGTGGAGACCACCCTGGACGAAGCCACAAAGGGTTACCTGCCAAAGAAGGCCACTTTCATGTGTCTCCGCGCAAGCACCTCCCCAATGACAGCAAGCTTGTTTCTGTAGCCCTCAATTTCCACGAGGTCATCCTCAGTGGCTATTCCATCAAGTTCTGGGTTCCTATATGTTGCTGCAAATTGAAATGGTATTAAAGAGTGTAAGTTAATATTATACAATGAAATACATAAAACTGTACATTTCAGTTTGTTCTACATTAACATATTATTTGAAAAATAAAAATGTTCAGGGCTGGTGAGATGGCTCAATAGGTAAAGACACTTGTTATCAAGCCTGACGACCCGAATTCAATCCCCAGGACCCACATGGTGGAAGGAAAGAGCAGACTCCCCTATATACATGCATACACGCTCATGCACACACACAATAAATAAATTTTAAAAGTTAAAAATGGCCGGGCGTGGTGGCACACGCCTTTAATCCCAGCACTCGGGAGGCAGAGGCAGACAGATCTCTGGGTTCAAGGCCAGCCTGGTCTACATAGCAAGTTCCAGGCCAGCTAGGGCTACAGGGAGACCCTGTCTCAGAAAACAAAAAATGTTTAAATGTCCACAGTATCTGAGTATTTTGGAGGAGGGGGGAAGCAGGCAAGAGATTGAACCTATGCATGTAAGTAAGTCAGGTGCTCTACCACTGACTTACTGCTCTGAGTATTTGGTAAAAGGTATATGACCTGTTCCAATGAGTATCATGTCTGCAAGAATTTCAAAAAGTATTATAAATTTCAAAGACCCAGTCAAAGGAGTTGTTTACTATTCATTTATCTCTCAAAAATTCAAACTAGGGGGTTGGAAAGAGGGTTCAGTCCTTAGGAGCACTTCCTGCTCAGTACGATTCCCAACACCCATATCAGGTGATTCACATCCACCTGTAAATCCAGCTCCAGGGGATCTGATGCCTCTTCTGGTCTCCATGGGCACTGTACAGATACAGCATATACTCACAAACACATAAAATAAAAACTGCGGGGGCAGCCAGGCATGGTGGCACACACCTGTAGTCCCAGCACTTGGGAGGCAGAGGCAGGTGGAGCTCTGTGAGTTCAAGGCCAGCCTGGTCTACATAGTGAGTTCCAGGACAGCTGGGGCTACAGGGAGACCCTGCTTCAAAAAGACAAAAAAAAAAGGGCTAGAGCAGTGGCTCAGCAGTTAAGAACACTGGCTGCTCTTGCATAAGACCCAAGTTAGTTCCCTACACCCATATGGCAGCTAATAACCATCAGTCACTCCAGTTCCAGGGGATCTGACACCCTCTTCTGGCCACTGTGGGCATTACACACATGGGTATACTTACATAGATTAAGGCAAAATGTATACATAATAATAAACTAAGCTTTAAAAAAAATATATGGGGGCTGGAGAGATGGCTCTGTGATTAAAAATGCTTACTGTTCTTCTAGAGGACCTGGGTTTGATTCCCAGCACCTACATGGCAGCTAACAACCATCTGTAACTCCAGTTCCAGGGGATCTCACACTCTCTTCTGGCCTTCGTGGGCACTGCAGGACATGGGTGCACTTACACACATGCAGACAAAACATGCATACATATAAAATAAAAATAGTAAATATTTATTAAAAATACAAACTAGGCCAGGCACCATGGTCCACACCTCTCCGGTTCTAGGGGTGGAGATGCTCAGTGGGCGAAGGCACACCTCCAAGTCTGTTGACGTTGGTCTGATTATCGGGACCCATATGGTGGAAGGAAAGAACTCCCAAAAGGTGTCCTGACTTCCACATGTGCTATGGCATGTTCACAGGTGTACACGTGTATGTGTACACACACACACACACACACACACGATAAAAAAAAATTAAAATTGGTAAAAAAGTTTAATCCAGTTCTAACAAGAGAAATAAGAGCCTAACACCATCTACGATTGCTCATCCCAACCTTGAGCTGGAAAGGGTTCTTCTGTGTGCTGAGGTGGGAAATCTGGCTGGGAACTCCTCAGAAATGAAAGAGAGGTTCAGCTTGGGAGCTAGGCAAGCCATCACCTCATGACCTCACATCCTGCTTCCCAAGGCAAGGGCTACAGAGTTCAATCAACAGAAAAGGCAGAAAAGAATCACGTCAGGCTTGCCAGGGTTCAGGAAGGTCAGCTGCCCACTGTGGCCTGAGCTCTCCATTTCTAAGACGGAGCAGACAGACTTTGCACCTTGTTCCATTTCTGCAACAGGAGACAAGCTAACGACCCTTCCTATCTGCCTCTTTTGGAGGAAGGCACAGAGATTCATCTGGTCAGCTACGTGATCAGAGACAAACACTGGCTTGAAACGAGCCCAGTGCTCACCTAGCTCACTCGGCTCATCCTTCTTTCCAAGGCCATTAATAAAATGCCACCTGTCAAATGATGGAGCAACTGCGTCAGCACTGAACTCACCTGTGCTTCTCACTTCACTGTTCTTGTTTTCTTTTCCTAGTTGCTATATTTTGGTGACATTTTCTCCTGAACCAGTAGATTGAAATCTGGAGTCTAAAGCTGCCCTTCCACGAGCCCCTTGCACAGTGCTCAATGTGTAACTGGCTCATACACAGACAACGGCTCAAACACAGACGACAGTTCGCACACAGACAACAACGGCTCACACACAGACAACGGCTCGCACACAGACAACGGCTCACACACAGACGACGGCTCGCAAACAGACGACGGCTCGCACACAGACAACGGCTCGTACACAGACACACAGACGACGGTTCGCACACAGACAACAGCTCGTACACAGACACACAGACAACGGCTCGTACACAGACACATAGACAACGGCTCACACACAGACAACAGCTCATACACAGACACACAGACAACGGCTCGTACACAGACACACAGACGACGGCTCGCACACAGACCACTATTACTACCATTACCTTTTCAGTTTTACTCCCTGTCAACTTCAAAACCTGGTTTTCCCAAGTCACTGTACTGACTTAAATTCTTTCCAAAGTGGAAATAAAAAACACCACTTTATTTCTCATGCACAATTTGTATTACATCACATTCAGTACTGGAGACATCTGGGTTCGACCTGAGGAACTTAAAACCTGGTGAGCAAGGATTTTAGGAACAAGAAGTGATTCTACCAATCCATTAAATTCTCCTCAGAGTCACAGAAGTTTAAAGGCCCCTCCCTTTCCACCACAAACCTAAAGGACAGATATCTCAGGAACCAAAAGAAATTCCAACAGTTCTCCCTAAATTGGCACACCCTGGTAAGACAGTCTTTGCAACCTTGATTTAGCAGTTATACAACTTGGTTAGGAAAACACCTGTTACCTGCCTGAGATTAGGGAGGAGCCAGGTAGGATGGCTGAAGGCCTAGGCTGTCCTCACTTGTGACTCAGGCATGTTGCTTATCTTTGCTGTGCCTTTACGAGGAGCATGATGCAAACTTGAAGATTAACGGAGTCCTTCATAAGATGAAACACTAGACCAGTACCTTATTTGTTTCTTAATTGTGAACTGCGTCTTATTTATTATGGTACCCTTCACAGCATAGAGAGAAGCAGTGTGAATTCAACAGCTGAAGCCAGGTGTGGTAGCACACACCTATAATCCCAGCACTCAGAGGCTAAGGCAGGGATCAGGAATTTAAAGCTACACACTGAGTTCAAAGGCCTGGGCCACATGAGACCCTATCTCCGAAAAGAGAAAGAAGACAAAGCTAGGGTGGAGATAAGAAAATGCTCTGATGTATTCTTTGAAAAACTGAAGATACACCAACCTTCGACAAAGTGTGACCCGTCGGTAACAAACTCCAGCAGGCGGCTGAAAATCGATGTGATGGCCCTCTTTGCCAGCACAAAGTGCTTCAGGGGAGACTCGGTTTCTGCCATAGTGCTCCTAGGGAGAGAAGGTCAGAAGAGCAGTTAGGCCTCTGGGTAGCACATGCCAGTCAATAGGGAGGCAGAGGTAGATGGCACTGGAGCCCAGAGCTCCAGGTCAGTCTGGACAATACAGTAAGACTAATCAAACTAAGGCAGTTGTGGTTGTCATAGACCTGTACCCCGGGACAGAGGAGGCTGAAGCAAGCCAGCCTGGAGAAGGTCTTGCTAAACAGCAACAAATACCCTAGTGCTACTAAGGTGGCTCAGCAGGAAAAGAACTTGCTGCCAGGCCTGCATCTGATCCCTGAAATAACCATCTTCAGCAAGCTGTCCTCTGATTGCCACATGACATCGTGGGATATGTGCCCACACACACAATAAAATGCAATATAAAAAACAAACTGGTGCTGGAGAGGACGCTCCTGCAGAAGACCTGAGTTCAGTTCCCAGGACTCACACTGGGCATCCCACAACCACCTGTAACTTCGGCTCTAGGGGATCTGACACCCTCCTGTACACATGTGCACATAGCCACACACAGACACACACATAACAATACAACACACACCTTTCTGTTGCCTGCCAGTTCATTCCTTAATTCCCCAACAGCATAAATTAATTTGGACAAATATTTTTAAGTATTTTTTTGAAAGAAAGCATTTTTAGGCAATTATTTTAGGTAATTATCTTTTGGAAACAAAGCATCTGGCCTGAAACTGAAGATTACTTTTGGGTGACATCTCCCTAAAACAGGTGAAATCCGCTTCACCTATAATCTGGCCTGTAATCCCAGGTATTTAGGAGGTCAGCCTGGGCTTGCCTGAGTAACTGTCTCAAAATAAAAGGTTAAAAAGGGTTAGGGGCTGGAGAGAGAGCTCAGAAGTTAAGAACACTGACTGCTCAGTGGGTTCCAGCAACCTGGGTTCGATGCCCAAGCACCCACATGGTAGCTAACAATGGTTGGTAACTCCAGTTCCAGGGCACCTGATGCCTTCTTCTAACCTCTGTTGGCACTGCATGACACAGGTGCACTTACATACAAGCAATACACTCACACACATAATAATAAGTAAAATTTAGAAAGGGTTAGATATAGTGGCCAGCGGTAGTGCACTTGCCTAGCATGTGAGAGGTCCAAGGGTTAGTCCCCAGTACTGCAAAAATAAGTAAATAAAGCAAAATTCGTGAAAGCTAGTGACGAAATCTTGGTTGCAGTTTCTACTTTATTTCCCTTCAGTGAAGACGAAACTCTTTTGGCTATAATGTCCGCACCCGGAGAACTGGTTAGGAGCCGCCAAGATCCAACAATCCGTGACCAACGTGCAGAGGAAAAATAAACACGGGCCCCAGGTCACCACGCAGGACCGAGAAGTGCTTCCACCACAACTGGGGAAGCCAGGCTCAAAGGCGGCCTGAGGCCTCCGCGGTCCCCAGACTTCAAGGACCCGAGCTTAACACGAAACGTTCGCGGCATTCCTACGAAAATGGCCAAAGACAAACCCTAGTCTGATCCTGTGTGTGTGGACCGGAGCGCGCCGGCCCTGGGAGCCAGTCCCTCCGGAGTCCTGCAGGGCGGCGCGGAGGTACGTGGGGCGGGTGTGGACCGGGTGCGTGGGGACGGGGTGCGTGGGAACCAGGTGTGGACCGGGTGCGTGGGGACGGGGTGCGTGGGAACCAGGTGTGGACCGGGTGCGTGGACCGGGTGTGTGAGGACCGAGTGCGTGGGAACCGGGTGTGGACAGGGTGTGGACCGAGTGTGGACCGGGCCGGTATCGGCCCGGCCGCGGTAGCCGCCGGGGGACCTACCTGCCCAGGCCTTCCGCTCGCCGTTCCCTCGCGGCCCCGCCGCTGCCGCCCTCCGCCGGGCGCTCGAAGGTCACCCCGAGCGTCCTCCGGCCGGACTCGCTCTGCGTCCGGCTCACGCAGTCACCCGGCAACCGCAGCTCGGCCACGGCCCCCAAGCAGGCTCATCTTCCCGGGAGAGGCCAGGCGCCGAGAGGAGGGCCGGGCTGGCGGGAACTTCTGGTTCCTCCCCGCTCCTATTGGCTGTGGCTCCAACACCGGAAACGCGTCACGCCGACGCCATTTTTCTTGAGGGCAGAAGGCAAGCCTTGTAAGCAGGCCCTCCTAACACGAGGACGGTTTTCTGTTCAGTTTACAGCTTCTCCCCTGTACCTCTCTCTTCAGGGCTTTCAAGGTTCAGGAGAGCCAGGGCTTAGCTGGCTGCCCCCCGGATATCTGAGTGTGAGTGTGAGGTGGGGAGTGAGCGGGTGGGGTGGGGAGTGAAGGGGTGGGGCTCCAAGACCGCAGATAACCCGGAGAGACAACCACCTGACTGATTGGTTGCCTGGGCTAGGACCATTGTTGGGGAAGAGGGGGTGGCGAGATGGTTCAGCAGTTAAGAACACTGATTGTTCCTGAAGAAGACCCCATTTCGAATCCCAGCACCCATTTGGCCGCTAACCACTGTCCATAACTCCAGTCCCTGGAAATCTGCCGTGCCTCTTCTGTCCTCCAGGGGCATTGCATGATGCACGACACGGGTGCACTTACCTACATGTAGGCAATACACGTATACACATAAAAAATAAATAATAATAATAAGTTGACACTCGGAATTACTGTTCCTTGACCAGTGCTGTTTCAACTTTGCTAGGAGTCACGGAATCTTGTGAGACTGCAGATTTTGATTCATTGGTCAAGGGTACAGCCTGAGAGTCTGCATTCCCACCCACCCCAGCTTCTTCCTCCACAGGTGCCCTGGGAATGTCTTTCCAGAGCTAGCAAGTGAAATGCTTTGGGAAGCTACTTCACCTCTGGAAATGTCAAGTACCCCGTCCATACAATCGGAATACTGAAAATGCCTGCTTTGTGGGCTGTGGATAAATGGGTACATGGCAGGAAAGGACCGCTCTGGGCACATGGAAGAGCTGGGTAAATAAATACGGGTGTTCTGTTGGGATAGATGGACTGTCAGACAAATAATAGTGAATGAGGTCCTTTGAGATTGTGTTTCCTGTTAGGAAAGAAGAAAGCCTCAGGGCAGTAGGGTAGATGGAATTAAAGTGATAACCCTGAAGCCTACCAGGTTAGTCTTTTCTGAGGTCGCATTTCTCAGGATCTTCCTAGGCCAGTGTTGGGACTACCTGGAGGAAGACTTACACAGACTGAAGAAGAGCGAAGGTAAAGATGGAAGAAATAAAATCCCAGGGGCTGGAGAGACGGCTCAGCAGTTAGGGGCACTGGCTGCTCTTAGAGGAGGACCTAGTTCAGTTCTCAGCACCCACTTGGCAGCTAACAATCATCCATAACTCTAGTTCCAGGGGAACTGTCCTGAGGTGGATTTGGATCAGTACTGAGGGTCAGAACTGTCCAATATTGCTGCTCTGGAGAGCCAGGACAGGCGCATACAGACAGAAGAGATTCCACACGAGTGAGAGGTTGTAAATACAATATATTTCACACAACAAGCCCAAAATACATTCACAAACAACACAAACACTCAAGGGGAGAAGCAGGAAGAACTGAACCAATGTTCAGAGCTCCCAGATCTTATGGAGTACCTCAGGGCCAGAGCCCAACGTCCCAGTCCTTAGGTGCTCCGTGTGGAGGCTCTCAGCATCCACCATGATCGTTGCTCTCTCCCAGCAGAAGTTACTCGGCTGCAGGTCCTGATGATCATGTGCAGTCGTGGCAGGTCTCGGGTAGGGTCTCGGGTAGAGTCTCGGTGTCTCGATGTCTCTGGCAAGAACAGTCGGGATGCGGCCGGTCTGTCTTGGTCTCAGAAGTTGCCAAGCATCGGTGAACTGCCCGAGTTTCTGGCTTTTTATATGCTTTTTACTGTCAGTCTGTCATTGTCTTGACGTCAGTGAGTTCAACTGGTGTCTTAGATATGGTGACTGCTCTTGGGTTACTTATCACACACATACATTCTGTTTCACTCAGTTGAGGCTCATGCTTCCTAGTTCAGCTTATCTTGTCAACCATAGCTGTCACATAGTTTGTGATTTCAATCACTTTCGTTTTTACAGATTGGCTTTCTATTTCTATATTCTAAGTTCTATGATATTTGTTATGTTTCTATTACATTCATTACAGGAACCCAACGTTCTCTTCTGACTTCCATGAGCATTATGTGACTTACATATATGCAGGCAATACACTCATACACAGAAATGAATAAAATATTTGAAAAATAAAAACAAAAGGGAAGATAGGAAAAGTATTAAGAAAAAAGTAGGAAAGTAGTTTTTATGTCTCTAATCTGTGGGAGAAAGTTTTGTAAACAAGACATAGCACAATTTATACGGGGGGAAATGTGATGAATTTATCTGTAATAAATCTGAAGATTTTCTCCCTCTTCCCCCCCCCAACTCCCTCCCCAGTGTCAGTCCTTGCTTTTGAGACAGGATTTCACTATGGCCTGGTTTGGAACTCATAACCCTTCCACCACAGCTTCCCAGGTGCTGAAATGACATGTCTGTCACATCATGTCTGGCCATATTGGAAGATTTCTGTTCCACAAATTAGCAACAGACACAAAGCAGGAAGCTCCTTTTTGCAGTGTACATAGCAATGATAGACATGGGAAGATGCCTTGGTCTGTGAAGTGCCAGAGGTCAGAGCCCCAGCACCCATGTAGAAGAAAGCCAGGGGTGGTAGCACACAGCTGCAACCCTAGACTGGGGGTCAGGGCAGATTCCAAGAGCTTGCTGGCCAGTTGAGCAAATCAGTGGACTCTGGACTCAGTGAAAGATAAGCTGGCACTGTGGTGGCGCAAGACTTTAATCCCTCCTCCCAAGAAGCAGAGGCAGATGAATCTCTGTGATTTCGAAGCCGTCCTGATCCACATAGTGAGTTCCAGGCCAGCAAGGGTTACTGAGTGAGACACTGTCTCAATGAAACAAAACAGAAGAGTCTCAAAAATACAAAACAGGGCTAGAGAGATGGTTCAGCAGTTAAGAGCCCTTACTGCTCTTCCAGGGGACCCGAGCTCAATTCCCAGCACCCACTCATGTGACCCGTAACTCCAGATCTAGGGGATCTGTCACCTTTAGCCTCTGAGGACACCTGCAGTCACGTATACATACACATCACATAATTAAATAAAAAGTTGGGAGGGGGAGTTGTTTTGTTTTGTTTTCGAGATGGTCTCCTAGCCCACCGGGAACTCACTATATAGACCAGGTAGGCATCGATCTCACAGAGAGTCTGCCTGCCTCCACCTCCCAAGTGCTACATAATGAAACCCTGTCTCAAAATTCTCTCCTTTCACCATGGATTCCAGGATGGATCTCGGGTCCCAGGCCTTCAGCAAGCACTTTCACCTGTGAAGCCATCTCTCTAGCCCCATAGTTTATTTTTGTATTCCTAGCACTGACATAGTAGATCTTCATAACTTTGCTCAGTTGAGAAGCAGAAAGCCCAAGGAGGCATAAAAGAACCGTGGGCTGCTTGAGAAGAGTTGAGTAACACTCCAGCCTCTGTTTGTGGCCAGGTTTATATAGTAAGGAGCAGAGGTTAGAGTCAGGTGTGAACAGAGGTCAGAGTCAGGTGTTGGACTTTGTCCCTGCACTCACCATGATTTCTCCTCAAAGGTGTTGGCCTTGGTGTCCAGTGGAAAAAAAAATAGGGCATATTGTCACTTTGTGTAAGGAAAAACTTTTGCAAAGTTGATAGAAATTTAGAAGACAAGTTTATTCTAATGTAAAATACATCTAACAATATTAGTCAATTCCAAACTGGGAACAAGCCGGGACTGGAATTCTGAATTTAGACCCACTCATTCACACATCACCCACCACTTTCTCTCATATCAATCTTTTATGTCCTGTTCTCTTTGAAGTCAGCTTGGTAGGTTTTGTGTTTTGTTAGAGTGTATGCACTCACGTGTGCACATGTGGAGGCCAGAGGTTGACGTCAGGAGCCCTGTCACTCTCCACCTTTTTGAGACAGAGTCTCTTGTTGAACCCAGAGCTCACTGATTGGCTAGACTGGCTGGCCAGAAAGCTCTGGAGATCCTCCTGTCTCTGTCCCCACAGTGCTAGGGGTCTGACGTGCATGCACCACTACACCTGGCTTTATGTGAGAGCTGGGGATCCAAACTCAAGTCCTCACACTTCCCCAGCAAACATTTTGCCCACTGGGCCATCACCCCTCTGCTCCCTAGCCTTGGTTATTTTTTAATATTTTTATTTATGTGTGTGAGTATTTTGGCTGTGTGTAAGTGCACCCATGTTGTGCAGTGCTCATGGAAGTCAGAAGAGGGTGTTGGATCCCCTGGAAATGGAGTTATGAATGGTTGTTGGCTGCCAAGTGGGTGCTAGGGATCGAGGGTCCTCTGCTTGAGCAGCCAGTGCTCTTAACCACTGAGCCATCTCTCCAGATCCCAGTTTTGGTTCTTAAACTTACTTATGCTGGGTGTGGTGGCACATGCCTTTAATTCCATCACTCTGGCGGCAGAGGCAGGTGGATCTCTGTGAGTTCAAGGCCAGCCTGGTCTACATAGTGAGTTCCAGGACAGCTGGGGCTACAGGGAGACCCTGTCTCCAAATGACCAAAAAAAAAATAATAATAATAATAATAATATTTTTAATTTTTAACATGTGAATGTTTTGCCTGAATGCGTGTCTGTATGCCATGCAATGCATATCCCCTTGAACTGGAGTTACAAGATGATTGTTAGCAGCCACCTGGGTGTTGGAATCTGAACCCGGGTCATCTGCAAGAGCAGCCAGTGCTCTTAACTGCTAAGCCATCTCTCCAGCCCCCCAGCTTGCTTATTTTTTAAACAGTGTTTTCCATTGTAGCCCAGGTTGGCTCAAAATTCTGTAGCCCAGACTAGCCTCAAATTCATAGCACTCCATCTGCTTCGGCCTCCTGGGTGCTGAGATTAAAGTGTCAGTGAAGGAGAGTGCCCCTCAAACCCCCTTCCCTGTGCTCAGAAAGAGCTGCTCTCCACCTGACTCTGGAAATCCCCTCCATTGTTCAAACCCTTTCCTGGTACATCTGTTTATGG